ACCCACTGCAAGAAGTCCTTTCACTTGTCTGTAATTGTTACCATTTTGAAACTTTCATAAGGCACCTTAGATTGATTTGTATTTTTAAATTTATTTATGGCTTTGTATAAATGCATGATATTTATTTTACTGTTTGTTTCTATCTCAGTGACTGTGTCATTTACATATTCCCTCTTTTTCTTCCTAAAACATCATCTGTGAAACTTGGTATTCGGGGTGTACACTGAAAGTTGTGTGGTAAATTTTTAGTTTAGTGCATGCTGGTCCAGTGTACTGGTAATCCTTTCTGATTGCACTATGATATCTGTGGTGTGAGTGGCGTTGCAACAATATGTTTGTACCTTCTATAAATGAAGGCCAGGCCAGTGAAATCAGTGAAGTAGCAAAGACAACACTGTAGTTGACTGCATTGAACAAAGTCACCTTTATGGTGTGAAGAAGTAAAGTACTGAGTTCCCAAGATTCCACTGCTGGTCTCTATCCTCACACAGAAGAACCCAGTCCGCTATCTTTTATATCCATTTTAATATTAAAGTTATCTCATGTTAGTAATGCGTATGTATATCGCAGGGCACTGTAGGAGCTACAGGAACGTTCAGTGAGCTGCAGAGATCTGGTCTGAACTTTGCCAGACAACTTGGGTTGGAATTAATGGAGGATAATGGAAATACTGTATATGAGCAGAGTGGAGGATCACCTGGCCACTATGAATCTCATGATTCATTGCATAAGTTTAAACGTCAGAACTCAGATTCTTCTGAGCTGGTAAGGAGAACATCAGTCATTGTTATCATGATGGTGCATTTAATATGTTTTCTCCCATACACAAGTGACAGTTAACATTTGATTCAGCAATCTTGCCTAACCATGTAAAAGTGTGAATGTACAATTCACTCAAATGCAGACAATTTCAGGTTTAGACAATATAGTCTGATATTCTGTTTCTAGATGCAAGTTGTATCGCATACTAAGTACTGTGCGTTGAAATAATATGTTATGTAGCATCAAGATATGAAGTAATGTGAGTTCAAAGGTGAGGTGTCAGTATGCTTGCCATTCAGATTGACCTGGTTCTTCTGCTGGTTTATGTTAACCATTCTAGTGCCAAGTTTGATTAAGAATATGAACTCTCATGTTTCTGAATTTTTATTACAATATGGGAAGCAGTGATATCAAGTGGGCCAGGACGTTTTGTGCTCTGACAACACTTCTTCTAATCTGACTACATCGGTGCTGGAGGATGCCTCTTTTGGACATTCAGTGTCACAACCTGTCGGCTCAACAATTTTAATTTCATTCTGTGAAATTATACCTGAAATCAGGCATTTTCTGGCATCCTCAGAAACAAGGCTGCTTATACATTGTATTTATAGATATGGCTATTTCAGAGTAGGAGTGAAATTCTGAAATTTGAGTATATCATTTACCACATGCAAATACATCTTTGTTATAAATGAAAAGTGTGCACGAGCTTGTCAGACCTCACAAAATGATGTATGAGAATGGCCATTTTTTGCAATGTAATGAACTTGCATAAAATTTCTCTATATTATCTGAGGACTGTCTGAAGCTACAGTTTCAATATTAATACCCTTCATTGTCCTTCTTTAGGTAGTAACGTATACATACTTTTATACTAGTATCTTTTAACAGTTCAGATATGCATCTCATCATAAATCCAAATTTGTGGCTAGATTACGAAAACCATGAAATTTTATGGCAAGTTCTGACCTGAGATGTATAATGAAATTGGCTCCAAGAATAGTAATGCAGATACACTGTGCAAGCACTTTTATCGGTCTACAATTTCAGGGTGAAATCATGTGCATGCAATTAATGGTTTTAGAATTATTGTAGCTGAGGAATAGTAACATAGCAGCTATTTATTTGCAGCATGCTGTTATAAATAAATAAGTGTATCTGTATAGATAATTAACAGAACACCCTCAAAACACACATGCCGACTCTGAACGGACCACGCTTTTTGCATACATAGTCGTACAGAATTGAGCACAACTGATTTTCCAAAATTTGTTGAATTGAGATAAACGACCCTTGTCTCCTGCAAAAGCCACTTCTGCATGTTACCCAACAAATTTCTATTTTGAGTAAATGAAATTAAAACTATAAAGGTGTTCCTTTGTGTCATTGTTTTACAACCTTATTTATTGAAGATGTAGATTTTTAAGTAAAAACATGCACCAGTAGCATTGTTTCTTACATTTAAGTCTTGGTCACTGAAGGTTACTGGCCATTTAAATCTTGGTACATTAAAGGTTAAAGGGAGCTGAGCACATCAGCTCAATTGATTATCGCTGACAGGCAGCAGGTCCAGATACCTCTTTGTGATCCTGTTTATACTTTGTCGCATAGCCCTTGTTGTTTCCTCTGCATTTTTCTTTTTCCGTGGCATGTGGCAATAGAAAGCTAGGACCCAGGTCATCATTGAGGTCTGAGTGGATAAAGGTCAACTTTGGTCAGAGGGACAGCACAAAGACTGTTGGTTTGGAACCTGCAGAGGCCATATTGCTTGAAGTAGAAAAAGAATGAATATTTAAGTTGTATAAGATGGTTCTGATACATTGATATGTAAGGTTTTATGCATTTGTAGTGAACTCAACTTTTAACATTACTAAGTAGCAGAACTAAAATTCAGTTTATTGGTTTTTTAATGTTGTAATTGCTTATGTTTATAGTCTTGCCGTTACATCTGTTTGGGCAATTTTATATTGAGAGTCTTTGTTGTTTGGCAGAGCTCACTGACAGGGTGTAAGCCAGAGTTGGTGGCCGAGATGCGGACGCGAGGCAAGGTAGATTTCAGAGTATATGGGTCATATTTTACTGCCACTGGGAATTGTGGCATCATTCTGCTTGCTTTTGGTGTGTGTTTACTAGAGCAGCTTGTCATCAGTGGAGGTGACTACTGGATGTCCTACTGGCAAGTACAGATCCCAGGCAGGACACTGCCAATGGTTTGATTAGTACCTTTCAATATAAAGCGCAAGAAAATGGCTAATGCTTACAAGGAAACATACCACATTTCCGTTATAAATTTCAGTCAGTTAAAGATAATTGGAAAACAATTTTTGTTTACTATGAACACCAAAACAATAATGTAAATAAATATTGTGGTAAAATATCAAGTTATTAGGTCTTACAGCAGGAGATATATAGTTGCTAGTGTATTATAAAGTAAGAAGCTCTTTACATTCATCCTACTGTATACATTTTTCATTACATTTTCTGAGATGAAATGCATAAAATGTGAAGGCATTCTGTTCAATTGGAAATTATTTGTGCAAGAATTATGAAAAATACTCATTGTACTAGGTGTTTGCATTGGGTATTCTGAAACCTGCATCTTTATGTGAAAATAAATAAAAGGTAATATGTCAAGAGTGTTAGCTTTGGCAAGTTTTGATATTAGCCCTTAATCTACCTTAGTACATGTGTGAAAAATGTGAGTTTTATTGGTGACAATATGGACCTCTCATTATTATTGGAATCCTTTGGTCTTACCTTGGGAATAAAAATTTTTTTTGCCAGATTTGTGAGCACACTGGCAGATCTCCATTTGAGCTAATCAACAAGTAGGATGACAGTTTTGAGGTATTTTTAGGCATACTGCATAATTTTTAATATTCTGTAGAAACTTAATCTCTGCTGAAGATTGCTGTCTTCTGGGTTGTTGCGCTGTGTAGTCTGGTTGATGTTAACCAACATTTCAGAGGTCATACTGCCCTGATGATGGAGGCAGTATGACCTCTGAAACGTTGGTTAACATCGACCAGACTACACAGCGCAACAACCCAGAAGACAGCAATCTTCATGCTCACTGCTGTGAAAACCTCAAATTTTAATCTCTGCTGCCTGTAATTTGCTTACATTTTAGAAACAGTATGAAAAATTGGTTAAAATTTAGAACAAAGTGATTTGGACATATGTTACTGCTGATTTCCACTGAATTCTTTTGAGAACACCAAAATTCAAGATTTTAATAACCACTGTATTGTCTACTTTTAGGTCTAAAGTGGAAGAACGTCGTTTGATTTTATCTGAAGCTGGCATTGACTCGTTACACAATGTGACAGTGGTAGTTATGAATGACACCATTACAGGCTCAACTGAATGGGGCTGGCTGCCAAGTACAGAGACTTGTATATACGTATATTCTGGCTTGGTAGCTTCTCTTGTAGTATTATCTGTATGTAGTGTGATGTGCTTCTTCACGATGTGTATGAGGGCTTCGATCAGTCTTCACAATTCCATGTTTGCCAGCCTCACTCGTGCTACCATGTGGTTCTTCAACAACAATTCATCAGGTATATGAGATATTTTAGACTACGTACAGTGTTGGACCCCATATCTGGCATCCCAAATCCTGAAGGGCCTAAAATTTATATTTTTCACAATGTTTTTAGTGGGCATTTTCCTATGCTTGTTATGTTTAAAATTGTCACTTTGTAGTTCAATTCGATTCCATGTGCTAGTGGTGCCACTGTTGATAGTCTTCGTACTGCTAGTAGAAGGAAGCTTGCTTGTTTGCAATTGTTTAGTCAGTGCTTTGGGGGGAAAAAAAGAGTTCTGAGGAGTACAAAAATATACAGAGGATGCAGTTGTCACTCTAAAACAGAAAGTCAAGTTATTAATAAAGATCCAAAATCCATAAAATTCTATGATCTGAAAGTCCATAGTTCTCACGCTTTCTGGATCAGGGGTCCGGTACTATATTAACAATTTTTTTATATATCTCATATTTAGGAATGTCTGACTGGATTGGAAGGGTGTACTCAAATGGTGTTCATATATTTGACTACCTGATTGGCCTTGATGTTTTTTTATTTGTATTTACAATTCTGTTGTTATGAAGAGGGCTGTCTTCTGGGTTGTAGTGCCATGTAGTCTAGTACAAGTTTACCAATGTTTCTGAGGTACTTGCTGCCTCCTTCATTAGGGTGATAATGGAGGCAGTATTGAAACTAAGTTTTCCTGGCATTACTGCTTTCCTTTATTTTGTTAGTAAATTTCATTCATATTTATTTAGATGTTCTTTGTGCTTGTGTGTAACTGAAGAACACATGGGTCCATTCATGCCTCTGTTAGTTTTGTCTTTCAGCCGAGATGTCTTGCCGTCTACATGTTCTGTCTTATAATAACTTGAGAACGGCTGATCATATTTCCATGAAATATGGCATGGAGATTATGCCATTAGAGGCTAATGCAAACTCCTACTTCTTAATTTTCTGTAATTGGTAATACCATCATGATGTGATCAAAGTCATGAGTTGGAAAGATGATGTTGCCATTATCTATGAACCTTTCTCTTGCACATGAAGTCCCTGTTAACGTTTCCCACGGTGTCGACCTGTGGACATTTAATAAGCGGAGAATGTCTGGACTAATATTAATGAAATTTGGTGTGGATGTTATGCCACTGGGTGCTGCTACTCCAAACTCATATCTCTTAATTCCATACACTTGGAAGGACCAACATGAAGGATGCTGAACATGGGGATGATCCTCAACCATGATGCCTGCCAATGATCTCGATTACAACTGAATCATCTTTCAATGTTCATGTGAATTATTAATGCTGCAGTCTGTCATTGGCTTGGTTACCTAACGTAATATATTGAATAGGATTTGAGGTTATCGTGGTGGTGAGTCTGAAGATGGCTGTCTTCTGGGTTGTTGTGCTGTCTACCAGTCTACACGATGTTACAACCCAGAAGATAGCCATCTTGTAATATATTGAATTGTTATATTGTCATGGTAACGTAAGACTGTTCTTTTGAAGAAGTGGATTATTGAGCACTCTAAATAATGAATTATAGCATTTCACTGATGTGTGCATTAGTCTGTGTGTGTATGTGTGTATGTATATAATTTCTGCAAATTAAGGCAGTGTGAATTTATGAAAAGAGTAACAATAGCAAATGGAAGGTTGCTTTTGTTTTTAATTGCTTTTCTTGTTTACAGTTAAGAAGAGAATGTTGAGCAGTGTGTGGCATAAAGAACATCTTTGGAACTTTTGTGTACTCCAAACAGTACTCCTTTCCAATTGTGTTTCTCTTTTGTGGCTGAGCATGCATTTGTTGTACTATTAGCTTGTGTGTGTGTGTGTGCATATGGCTATATATGAAGAATGACATAGGAATCAAATTTTTATTTCCTTTGTCTTTTATTAATTTCAGGTCAGATACTGAATCGTTTCTCAAAGGATATGGGGTCAGTTGATGAAATTTTGCCACAAACATTGGTTGATTGTGTACAGGTAAGAAGGTTTTCATTATTTTAATTAAAGTGAAGTAGTATGTTTGATGAGCTTGAAACAATTATGATGGTGGTGAGAGTTACCACACGTGATCTACCATTGCAGACTTGAGTCATGTTTAAGGGAAATTTGAAAATTAGTATGGCCCATTTTACACTCTTAGAATTTAACTATTTTTTGTTCTTTTTCTGCAGATGGGTTTGTCGCTGTTGGGTGCTGTAATAGTTGTGGCATTAGTGAACATCTGGATGCTAATACCTACAGTATTTATGTTTTCACTTTTCTTTCTGCTAAGATTGTACTTCTTGGCCACATCACGCAGTATCAAAAGGCTTGAGGGAATTAGTAAGTTGACATTAATTTTAATGTGTTCTGCTGTGTTGCATAAAATGGTTGACTGCTTTATCAATAAACTTTACAATTTTTGGGTGTGAATTTCTAATATACAATATACATTTATGCAAAGAGTTCCCAAGGTAGATTAATTCATACCTTTTTTAATGTTATTATTTTTATTTTATGCCATGATGTTTGAGGTATTTTGACAGTGAAAAGAAGTCAAGCCTTTGCATTGCTGTTTGTGTCACAGCTCTGCATCATTAATCCTTTCAGTATCAACCCAAGAACGTTCTTGTGCATGCTATTTGCATTGTGTTAACCTGAGTAAGTACTTAGGCACTGTATTGTTTTTACATTTATATTCATTCTCACATCACGAATACATCATCATGTATTGCTGGCTGTTACAAACACGAAGGATTAAATTTTGTATTTCCACTTTTTTGTCTATGAACAGGCATAAAGAATAAAGAGTACTGACAAGTGGTCAGTTTATTTCCACCATAAAGTAGTTAAGATGGCTCTTCAGTCAGGTTATGACGTAGAAAGGGTAAAAAGTGCAAACGGACCTTGATAGATTATGATTAGTGAATCCTAACTAAATCCATGGAACAGAGACCGTGAGAAGTTGAAGGTCACTCATCTGCTTGTAACTTTAATGAAACTAGAGATTTATCCTTACACATGCTACATATCCTACCTGTGTGATCTTCCTTGATTTGATCAGACTAAAAAATGTTAGTGAAGAGTACAAATTATGAAGCTTCTCTTTGTGTTATTATTTTCATCCTGCTGTTACTTCTGTGCTTCTGTTCTGCATATTATCATCACCTTTTTTTAAGCATATCTCTTATGTTCTCTTCTTGGGTCAGATAAGATTTACATTAAAATAAAATAAATAAATAATATTAATAAATAATATAAATAATGACGTAAAACTATGTTTTAATCTTTGGGTTTACAGATAGAGGAAAGGTGAAAATGTAAATGTATATGGTAGCATCCTCCAAATTTAATCTGCTCTTAACTTCTTTGTGATTGTTATTTTTATTTGTAGCTGTCATTTCTAAATGTTTGAACTTTGCCACATATGATTCTCTATTACAATTTTCTCTTGCATGATGGTAACAGCATAAGTACATATGTACTTAGTTTTTTCTGCTTTCATTTCTGCACCAACCATCTTACCAACATATAACAGAATTGCTGTTTTTCTTTATGGTTTTTGCCATTTAACTGGTACAGTGCTCAGACTAATATTACCAGATTTGGGCTCGAGAAAGTAGGATTGTCTAGTGCCTTCCTTAGAACTGAAATGGCATTCCACCTTTTCCCATTTTATTCATAAAGAATATTTTACTATTGTATTACATCATATATTAGGTGTTTAGTATGAGCCGGCATAGCTCATTTGACTGGATGACCAGGGTTCGATCCCCTATGGGGGCAGAGGATTTTTTTTCTAGCCTCTGCCCACCCAGCTTCCTGTCCAATGGGTACCAGGGTCCTTTCCCGGGGGTAGAGCACGGCTGGGGCATGATGTTGACCGCTCACCATCACCTGGTGCTGAGGTCAAGATAGAGTAGAAGCTGTATCACCTTTCCCCCCAAGCACCTGCGTGGCATATAGTGGGACAGATTTACTTTTTTATTAGGTGTTTAGTTCTCAGTTATATTATAAAGGTCCATGTTTGCGAGTGTGCGCATACAGTTTACATGTATTTCTTATGTTGGCAGCAAAGAGTCCAGTATTCTCACACCTTAGTGCATCACTGCAAGGTCTAAGCACAATTCGAGCACTTGGTGCACAGACCATGTTGGAGAAAGAGTTTGATAGTCACCAGGTCAGTTCAGCACATTTTTGCAGTCAGAATCCATGGTTTAATTCCTGTGTCACTGTCTTTATAAATCTGAAGCTACTTAGTACAGTTAATTTACATTTGGCCAAGTTAATAAGAATAAGAAATGACCATGTGACTGGAAAGCATAATTAATTTTTAAATTAAAGTTCTTAGGTGTTCTTTACGCTTGATCGTAGTAAAGAACACCTTGTGGGCCTGTCCATGTCTGTCTGTCCTCCCAAGCAGCAAAGCAATCCCAGGGCCCCAACCGCCCAGAGATTTAGTCATGGCGTTAACTTGACTGGGGCTCTTTCTGCCAGGTCTTTGCGCCCTAGATTTGTCGCATTTTGGGGCTATGCCCGCAAGGCTTCTCCCCATAGCTGAACCCTGCCTTCCCTCAGGCCTTGCTATGTGCTTTAAGCCTGCTAATGTATCACTTCTGTAAATTAAGGTGAAAGAAGTAATGTTAGAAAATGGAAGCTGGCTTTTGTTATGTAGTGAAATACAGCTGTAATGGTAAAATTATTTTTTTACTTCATTGGTTTTTTTCTTTTGTATTTCTTCTGATGTGAATTCCAGTTCTCTGTTATTGTCAGAACATCTGGGTAGTCTGTGTTACAGTGAATTATTATCAATGATCAGGACTTTTATGTATCTAAAAATAACTTCCATCACATCCCTTCCAGTCTGTAAACATAAAATTTATTGGATCTACAGGCCTAACATTCAAATTGAATGCAGCCATCACTTCCAGGCTCCTGTTTGGAACTGCATGACTACCATCAAGCACTACAATATTTTCCCAATGCAAGTTAAGTATCACTCCATAAGAAGAATTAAATCAACTTACCTTTTTTTTAGCAGTTCCTGCCAGGAGCCAGGATGTGACAACTGCATTCGACTTTATTAGTAAACACACTGTTTATGTGTACGTAATGATGCTGGACGTCATGTGTGTGATTGAACCAGTGCCTTCTGCCTTTTGACCAGTCTGTCGTATAACTTTTGTACTTTGAAATGTAGTTTATGTGCGAGATTCCAAGTTCTCATGGTAGTGAGTGTGAAGATGGCTGTCTTCTGGGATGTTACACCATGTAGTCTGGCAGTATTTTTCTGATGTTTTGGAGGCAGCAAGCACCTTTGAAACATTGGTAAACTACTTCTTGACTACATTGCACAATATCCCAGGAGAGTGTTGTCTTCAAATTCAATTTAATTTTTACCAAATGTGAGGTGCCGAGGTACCAAGTGGAAATGGTAAACCAATAAACATTTTTCATTCTGTTTATTTATTTTTGTTTTATGGTAACAGGACTTACACTCATCAGTGTGGTATATATTTGCTGCAGTGACCCGAGCATTTGCTTTATATCTTGACAGTGTCTGCCTCATATATATGACCTGCGTCACTCTCGGCTTTCTCGTCATGGGTGAAAGTGAGTTCAATATTTCGCATTCATAGTTTTCTCTGTGAGTTTATTTTAATTTTGGAGTACAGTGTGTATGAACATTAACTCTGAATTTCACACATTTTTGTCTTTATAATTATAGTGTAGTTTTATCTTTGAATGTGTATGCATTCAATTTTGAAAGCTTTCGAAATGACAAAGAAACAGTAAATAGACAAAATAATAAATAGTGACGATTGAAGAGTCTGAAATTTGAAATGTTATTTGATTTCAGTACAGTTTTAGTTTAACTTTTTTAAAGTTCAAATGAAGAAACTTATTTATGTGTTGTAAGCACCTGCACCTTTTGGCATAGCTTGTATTTTCTCAAGAGTTTTGTTCATAGAGTACATTGCATTCTGAACATTATAATAGCTTTGGTTACACAACCATCACATAAGTGGAAACATTCTTCTTCTATTTGCAACAAAATATTCCACATATACACCTGTTAACTTTGTCAAATTTTTCTGTCAGTCTGCTTGTAATAAGTCAATAACTGCTAAATGGATTTTCATGAAATTTTATGTCGGGAATGTCATTTGTGGTCTTGCGGGTTGTGATGCTGTGTAATACAATATGTGGTTACCAGTATTTTAGAGAAACATATCACTTCTGTAAGATTCGAGGTTTTCACAGCGGTGAGTATGAATATTTCTGTCTTCTGGGTTGTTGCGCTGTGTAGTCTGGTCGATGTTAACCAACGTTTCAGAGGTCATACTGCCTCCATCATCAGGGTCAGACTACACAGCGCAACAACCCAGAAGACAGAAATCTTCAATGTAAGATTAGTTATAAATTCACAACATTTTTAATAGTTATAGATGGAAATTATTGTGTTACAACATTAACAGTTTTGAGGAGTTATAATTTAGGTTTCATGCTTGCTGTGATGCCAAATGTTTTGATTACAGGATACTATGGAGGAGATGTGGGACTTGCAATTACACAAGCAATTGGATTGACAGGACTTATCCAGAAGGGTATACGTCAGTCGGCAGAGTTGGAGAACCAGATGACCGCTGTGGAACGTGTGTTGGAGTATTCGAATTTAGAAAAGGAACCTCCATTGGAGTCAGATGCTGGTGAGGCCACTAAAATGTTGAAAGTTTAACTTTAAAAAAAATAATATGCAGTTCTACTGAACGTTTTCCATTCCCTTTGCAGCTTCTTACATCTGATATAAAAATGTCAAAGTAATGAATACAAAAGTGTTCACTCGATGTACATATTCTTATCAGATCTATAGAGTCAACACATAATGACTGCGCCTTGTTGTGATGTTTTACAAAGAGTGTGGAAGACAGAACATTAAAATGAAAGTGATAAGTGATGTTTAGGTAAGGCCCTGTTAATGGACAGAGTCACAAGGCAGTGTGGATGCAGAGGTATGGCAAAGGACCTGTATTTCCTCTACAAGGTCGAGAAACTTTTCTGAGATAAGAGAGTTGGAGAAGCATGCTGTTTTTTAAACAAAAGTGAGAAAATGTACTCTGGTGGATTACATATGTTGCCCTCGGTGGACTAGTGGTTAGCGTGCTTGCCACTGGATCCAGGGTTCGCTGGTTCAAAGCAGGCCGAGGTCGATGGTTTTTTAAGGGTGATAAAAATCTGTAGCACAACTTCCTTTGGAGTGGAAGTATAGCCTGCAGTCCCATGTTGTGGATTTGAAGCGTGTAAAAGAACCTTAGGAGCATGAACGAGATGTTACACGAGCAAAATTCAGCGGCCGTTTCTCACCTATGTCTCTCCTGTTTCTCTGCTAGATGGCTCTAGCAGACAAAATCAGGATTGAGTAGAAATTGTGCAGAGGCAGTGTGCTTGTCACTCAGTACTCACAAATGCACGTTTAAAAGACTAAGAAACCTCCGAAAGGAGTCTGCGAAGACCCACACTGAGTTGTAGAGCCACAGGAAGGAAAGTGGAGTACATATATTTTCCAAATAATTATTTTCTGTTTTGCATCCCTCTTGGCCTTGCAGTTTATTTATTACAGATATAAGTCTACTATTCAAAGCTTTGCGCTGCTCTGTCATGTCCATAGTCTGTTTATATTAATGTTATAAGTGCTTACATTTAATATTTTTTTGGATTAGATTTCAGATTTTCACTGCATTGAAAGTTTAGATTTTGGTCTTCTGAATTGTGACCTCATGGTTCAGAGGAACGTGGAGCTCCATTATCAGTGTATAAGTGTGTTTTGCTGCTGTGTGCAAGGGATTATATTAAGAAGGGTGAGTGACTGGGGCGAAAGAGAACAAGAAAATTAGCAAATTAGAGCTGTGGATGGGGGAGATAAGTGGCCTTAATTAGCTATATTTTATGCATGTTATGCTTTAACAGTGTTAAAAAATTTGTAAAATTTGGGCATCCTATAAATCAGGAGTCATAAGTAACTGATATCATACCTTCTGGGGCACACTTCCAGTACCAAATTCTATTAAAATCTGTCAGTAATTTGAGAAATTATACGTGCGCACACTGAAGAACATAGCTTCATTATGTAATCATTTTATTCAATCTGTACAGATTATTCATACTAATATAGCCTAATTCTCTTGAGGTTGCAGACAAGAAACCAAAAGATGATTGGCCATCACAAGGAGAAGTAGTATTTGATCGAGTTTTCCTTGGCTACTCCAAGGAAGGACCATTTGTCTTGAATAATATCAACTTCTTCATCAGACCAGCTGAAAAGGTGATGCAAATCTATCTAGATATATTTTAATGTTCAGTTCAGAAGATTTTATTTAGTAGTTTATCAAGAAATTAAAAATCATAAATGCAATTAACAGTAGATGCTTGGGCAGTGCTTAAATAATCTTAGATTTTGTTTCCCCTTCTTAACTTCTTCATAGCCATATTTTCATGTTATCCTGTTTTTTATGTAATTATTAGCATCTCATCAAAAAACATAATCCGATCTAGACAGCACACAGTACTTATTGTCTGTGGGTCTTTTTCCCCTAATTCAGGTGGGCATTGTGGGCCGCACTGGAGCAGGTAAGTCCTCCCTTATCACAGCTCTGTTCCGTTTGGTGGACCTGACTAGGGGCTCAATCCAAATCGATGGTGTGGACATTGCTTCAATTGGACTCCATGATCTACGATCCAAGATCTCCATAATCCCACAGGAGCCCACCCTGTTCTCTGGAACTCTTCGCAGCAATCTGGACCCATTTGAACAGTACACAGATGTTGCACTGTGGGCTGCTCTGGCTCATGTGGAACTGAAGCAGGTCGTGGAAGAGCTACCTGCTGGGCTGAGCCACAGAGTGTCAGAAGGCGGGACCAACTTCAGTGTGGGACAGCGCCAGCTCCTGTGTCTTGCCCGTGCCATCATCAGGAACAACAAGATTCTGGTGCTAGATGAAGCTACAGCTAATGTGGATCCACAGTGAGTGCTTCCTTAATTTTTTTAGTTAAATAAAGTTAATGAAGACTGCTGTCTTCAGGATTATGATGCCTTATGGTCTGGTAGAAGTTTACCAGCGTTTCAGAGGTATTTTTTGCCTCCGTCATGAGGGCAGTTATCTTCATACTTGCCATCATGATAACTTCAGATCCTGCAAATGCAATTGATGATGGAGGCAGCAAGTACCTCAGAAGTGTTGGTAATCTTCTACCAGACTACACAGTGCTACAGCCCAGCAGACAGCCATCTTTGTCCTTGTCAACATAATCTGTTATACCACAGTGTTACGGAAACTGGCTCTGTTTCCGTCTTAAGGCGAGAGGCGCCTGCTCGGTTGGGTCCGTCGATAGAGCTAGTCTCCGTCACTGGACCAGTGTACTGATTTCCTTGCACTGCACAGAAAGCATGCTGTGGTAGCCTCAACTGACATGTTGCTGACTGGTCCTTGTGGTCCCTTCTCTACTTCTTTCAGTTTTTTATCCCACCAGTATATGTTGTTTTCATGTGTGGTGTTTCATTAAATATGCAGTGATACTTAACATCACTCAGATAACTGACTTGCATTTTGTTTGCCATAACACATTGCACTTTCCTGTGTGCAGGAAACATGACTGCTGATTGATGTGCTCTGTCTTGGCCTGATCCTTGCACATTTCATGTGTGATTTCCTTTATTTCCTTTCTCCAATAGAAACTAAGAGGACTTCTCTTTTGGTAGCTGTTTCATTCATATTTCTGTCATGTGTAATTATGAAATGACAACACTTCAGAATCTCACCATGATTATATTGTGGCTTGTGCCTAACTCCCCTCCCTGGCTAGTGGATGTGGGCTATGGGTGTGGCCATCATGGAATGTTCCAGATGGAGTATTCCCCTTGCAGAAAGGAGAACTTTCGGGAAAGGGAACCTTTGGGATTCTTGGCCTGGAACGTTCCACGAATGGGCCGCCCGATATAAAATGTCGTCTGCCCGAGTGCTAAGGGATTATCATGGATCAGAGGTGACAGTGGCAAATAAGGCGGCATTGAACAGCGAGTGAAGCAGTGAGTCAGTGAGACAGAGGGTACGGTGACAGCAAGATGGTGAAGTGTTGAGTGAAACAGAAGTGTGGACAGAGCTGAGTGCATGTCACATAGTTGTAGAAATAGATACTTCAGAACTGTATTGGGAGAATTGCCTGTGTGTGTAGACTCTGTAAACTGATTTATTCTCAATAAATCAAGGTTGACATAGAGCCCAAGCAATAGTTGATAGTCATCGACATAACAATATGAACATGGTGTATATGTGTGCAAAATCTGTTATTCTGTCTTAGGTACTTTTTGCATTAGTATCTGGTTCTCTGTATGCATTTCAGAACTGATGAATTGATTCAGGCAACAATTCGTCACAAGTTTGCTGACTGCACGGTGCTGACCATTGCTCATCGTCTGCATACAGTCATGGACGCCGACCGTATGATTGTCATGGATGCTGGATCTGTTGTGGTGAGCCTTGCCTTGGCCATTTATAAATCGGTCCCTAGGTTATTCCTGTGTTACTTCAACCTTAAGATTATTAAAGAAAATATATATAGTCATCATATGTGCACGAAGGACAACTTCATAAGATTCATATTGTATAAGTAACAATGAGTGTATGTTGATTGTACTTTTACCTCTTAAAATTAATCAAATAAGGACATTGAAATAAGTTAGACATGTGACCCACAGAGAGAAATCAAGAAATGTAGGTAGTATTGTGGCAGGAAAATCTTGAGGAAAATGATCAGTTGGGAAACCAAAGCACAAATAGTTAAACTTTATAGTGAATCTGGTTGTGAAGCTGTAAGTTGAATTAAGTGGCTTTGAACAGCCTCAAGTGCTAAGCCCTCATATGATAATGAGCTTTGGGGTTCTATAACAGCAGAGCATTTTTTGGTTAGATTAATATTTGATGGCTGCCCAGAAGACAGTGATCTTCTTACATGTTGCTGTGAATTTCTCTTATCTCACCAGATTAATACTTATTGATTGCTCTTAATTTAACATGGCCATTGCCTGCAGGAATGTGACCACCCATATTTGCTGCTGAAAAACAGGAGTAGTTTCCTGTCTCAGATAGTGCAGCAGACCAGTCATCCTATGTCGGAGTCACTGTTCACAATGGCACAGAACGTAAGTACTATCATATGCAAGTGACATTGCAAGTTCGTTTTCTGTTTGATGATTGAAACTTTTTTTTTTTTTTTTGTTCTCCTTTTACTGAAATCTTGTTACAGTGGTTGTCGGTTTTTCCCACATGTAGTGTTTATTTTCCATGGCCCTAATGAAAATCCATAAATAATGTAATGTCTTGGGCAGACATATCAGGTCCCTGATGATGATGACTGAGATGGCTGTCAAAATGTTGGTTTTTATGGTCACCTTGCATAGTTGATTGCCCGCAAAGACTTCATTCAGTTTATAACCACAAAAGCTATCATGCATCATAAAATTGTAGTTTTGACTATCATGTAGACTCCTTCTTATATCCTTACTGCTTTAGATTTCTTTATTTTACCACTTTTCGTATTTGTTATAGAGTTTTTCAGATGATCTGTATTATCAGTATGAATGTTGCTTAGTATCTGAAATTCTTTACTCTTTATGTAATGTTCAACTTCTTACATCTCTGTGAAGCACCTTACACATAATCCATCTGGTTGTGTGTGTGTTTCACATTAACACGTCACTAAACTCTTAATTCCAGAGCTAAATTCCAGTGAGCAGCCCCATAGTATAGGGATTTAAATACCAGATTCCCATATGGTAAAGGTTATTATTTTCTTTTAGTTTCATGTTAAAATAATTTGTATTACCATCAAAAGACATAAAGGAATATGCAGTGAGGATAAAGATAAAGGCATGTACTTATTCCCTGTAGGCCGGATCTTTATTTTTGCCACAGTGTCCAGACTGGTCCCACCCAGCCTTCAAAAATTAATTCTCGACTTCTCTCAAATTTATTACTGTCTAGGAAGGTGTTCAATGTCTTATTTGTGGGCGTAGGCATTGGAGTAAATATAATATCCAGTTAACTTTAGTGGTTATAATGTGTATGTAAATTGCTTCTGTCTAAAAGTGAGGAAGTTGCCAAGTAAGAACACAGGTCAGTTTAATGTTTTATGAGTGCTTCAATTCTGTATTTCAAAGGATAATTTTTTTCTTTCCTCCCATGTAAGAATTTTGCATAATATTTTGGAATTGTTTTATCCGTTGAAGAATCATTATTGATATGCATCTTAGTTCTTGGTTTGAATTTTGGTATTTCTTACTGTGGGGTTTGGTGGCATCTTGAATATTCCATCATGTGATTTTAAAACGTTATCTCCTTTGGACATCGGTTTTAGTTTTATCGCCTGTTTTCTGGCCTTCTTTCACGGTCTCTGGCTTCAGTATATGCAAGGTTATAGGTACAAGGTCTTGTATACTTTTTTTAATTGTTAGGAGTGGTTTCTTTGTTTGAAAAACCACTGTTGTCTGGAAATATGGACTAGCTCTATTGGTTGGTACCAACATAGTATGCTCTACCTGAAAATAGGGACAGATTCTTGTCTTCAGAATGTAATTTCTTACTTAAGATTGTAAAAATGAACCACCTGTCTGTCTCACTTTGCTATTTGCTGAAATTCAGTGTACCACTGTTGTGAAAGTGAATACAGATGGAAATTATAGCAAAAAATACTGTCAACTGGGTAATGTTAATACAACTTTATAATTTTGCTGGTATGGTTCAGAGATTTAGTTTTTGTTTAACATAATCTGTTGGAAAGTTTTATGCCTCTAGATTTTGAATATTGTATAGTATTGAGTTCTTGTAATTCTTTTTTCTTCTCTTTTTTTCAGAGCTACAAGAAAAGTACTGTCTCACAATCATGATAGAGGGACACCACAGGAAATGGAAATCCAAGTGTAACGTGAAAAATAAGATCTCACGTGAATGACAGGGAGACATCTAGTCTCAATTTCCTGTGTCTTTTAATATCTCTTTCTATCCAATTTTGCATGCAATGAACATATTGCTACAGTTATTAATACAATAGTTTCTTTGTAATAAATATTTCAGAACAGTAAAAGAGCACAAAAAATAAGTTGTGATTGGATCAATATTTATATGTTACCTACTGTTTTCATTTGACCTTGAATTTTATCTGTCATGGCTGAATTGTCTGAAAAGCTTAACTTTAATGCTGTTTAGAAGTTATTTTGATTTTGGTTGAGGTTCAGTTTTGAAGTATGAAGAAACACATTTTATTACTTGCCATGCACACAAGACAAAAGTGTTTAGAATATGTATGATTCTTGGAAACAGGCTTCCAGCACCCAGTCCTTCTGGAATAAATGGAAGAATGTTTGGTTTAATATCCAGCAAACTGAAATGTGTTTAAAACAAAATTTATAGAACTGAATAACACAGACATCTTGTGTTGTATTCCTTTGATATGATCATATTCTTTTGATAAAACATTTGTCCATTTGTAAATTAGACTTGCTGACTATATTTTCTGATCTCTTATGATGTGTAGGTATCGAGCATTCCTGATTTTGGAAGAGCTGTGCAACAGACCGTCTTAAATCAGTGTTTGAATTGTTACTTTATTACATAAATTACAAGGTAGCTCAGTCAGTATAGTGACTGGCTACAGGCTGGACAATCTGGGTTTGATCCCTGATGGGGGCAGAGGATTTTTCCTGTAGCCTATGTGTCCTGACTGGCTCTGCGGCCCACCCATCATCCTGTCTAATAGATACGAAAGTCCTTTCCCAGGGGTAAAGAGCAGCTCGGGCGTAACGCTGATCACTCGCCCCCATCTAGTGCTGAGGTTAAGACCGAGTAGGAGCTATATCACCTCACTTCTGCTACCAGGGAGTCAATTAATTAGTTATAAAATAACATTCAGGGTTGTAGATAAGATATATGAAGATAATTATAATATGTTTATAATTATGTTTACAACAACAAATTTTGATGAACCAAATTCAAGTTCATTGAGGAATGTTGACTAAATGTTTTTCATGCTTTACCTGATTCATTCTTGGTGAATGAGCATCTAGTACTGTGAAATAAATAGGCTACAACTTTTTGCTTTCCAATTCACTGTACTAGATAACCTCTCATTTCTTTAACAGTAAACAAGGTTGGAAAGTGTGTTCTGTATGAGAACACACATATTATCCTCGTGCATTCTTTGCAGTGTGCATTTTGAGGTATTGAATCACCCGTGTTCGATAGTTCACACATGGTCAGATTGCAGCACCTCAGTGTCTACCCCACAAATTTCTGCAACACAGTAGTGATGGCTGATATTTCTGAAATCTGAGCAACCTCTGATATATCCAGATGCAGCCAATGCAGTTTAAAAAGATGGAACTTAAAGAACCTGCTGTAAACAGTGGTAGTACTGTTCCCACAGTGAATGCTACCAAGATTGACTGCCCTCTAATGGCATGCTGTTCATGCCAATTTTCACATAAATTTGTCAGTTTCTATAAAAATTAGTCTGAAATCAAAATGGGACAAATATATGTAACATACCAATAGGGTTCTTTGGGAGCTAGGAATGTTGAGAAGATAAATGGAAAAGGACTTTGGAAGAAGAAGGAGAGACTTGGGTGATGAAGCGAAGAGAAGGACAAATGAAAATAGATGTTGGTTTTCTGGGTTATAATGCCATGTGTACTTGTTGGTAGATACCTCCACATGGCATTATAAGTCAGATGACTGACGTCAACATCTTCTCCTCCATGAGAACCTCAAATCTTATGAATGAAAATGGATTTTTGATGAGAGGAATACTAACTAACTAACTTGATGGCTTACCAAACCCAAAGGTTCATCACTGAAGTAACCAAAGCCCTCCACTGGACCCTGTCCTGGGCCAACAAAATCCAGTCTCCTTCAACTCCTATCTCCCATAGATCCTACCTGACATTATCCTCCCATCTACGTATAGGTCTCCCCAGAGGTCTCTTCCCCTCAGGCTTCCCAACCAACACCTGGTGCACACCTCTTGTCCCATCCATGCCCACTACATGCCCTGCCCATCTCATTCTTCTTGACTTAATCACCCTGACAATACTGGGGGAGTACAAATTTTTAAGTTTGTCATTATGTAGTTTTCTTCAGACCCCATCGTCTTCTCTCCTAGGCCCAAATATCCTCCTCAACACCCTATTCTCAAACACCTGCAATCTATGTTCCTCCCTCGGAGTGAGAGACCATGTTTCGCACCCATACAAAACAACAGGTAGAATTATACTTTAATTTTCAGGTTGATGAGAGGAATACTGGTAAGCAACACTAAAAAGACATGAAAACAAATTACAGACATGGATGTTAAGTTACTACTCATTCATACTAATGCCAATCCCACAGGTCTTCAACTTTTCTAGGGAATTTTAAAGATGTAAGTGATTTGAAAACAGTTAGCTTAAGAAGGATACCACATTTAAATTTGAGAATTCTAGAATAGTTGATGAAAGCATTAAGGATTAAACAGTGTTTAGGAATGACACAGTTCAAATTTAGAAGTTGGCTAATGGTATTGTCCCAGCATCATGCGCATCTGCCTGATTGATAATAAATAAGGGGTAAAGATAATAACTTTGAATTCACCCATTTTGATTCACCATTAAAAGTGATCAAACTTTGATTTTCATTTCATCGTGATGTCTGTACTGACTAAATTATGATTTGATCGTAATATGATCATCTTCAGGTGTCTGTATGTGGGATATTGTAGATTGTTGAAGTTGATGTGAATATGAAAAAAACAGCAATATTGGTTAAATGGTTAATGCCATTGGATAGAAGTTATTAAGGGAAAAATTAACTTAAGACTGAAATTAAAATGTATTTTTAACCTTGATAACTTATATCCAATGGTATAACTATTTTAACTACTAGTGTTTTATTATCATATGCACGTAATCTTCAAAAGTCAATAGTAACCTATACGCAACCAATTGAAGATGGTCCTGTTGGGATTAAAACATGCAGGATAATCATCATTTAAATAAACACCAAAATAGTTGTGTGGACGGTGCTACTGTGTTATTATTTAATTTGCACAGTGTTATTATTTCAAAACTGATGGCCAATCAGAAGGTGAGTGAAAGCCAGAAGTAGTTGGCAAACAACGCGTTGCCGTGGTCTAATGGTTATTACTCCTGCTTCTTATTCGGGATGTCCTAGGTTCAAATTGGGTGCAGAATGTGTTGGTGTAGGTCGGCGTGAACGCTGCATAATTTTTAACGAAAACCAGCAACGCCAATTTCCTTGTTTAAATTGACTGCCAGAAAAGTTGAGTCACGGCTAGTTTCGATTCGTTGCTTCTTTTGCGGGTTTAGGAAGAGATGTATACTTGAAAAGTGCAATTTGACATATTAACATTACAACTTTTTGAATACCTGTACATGCAAAATTCTAGTGGGACGAGGCATTGTATTAAAGCGATGGTTAGATTCGCTTGATGTTTTTCGTTATGGAATTATGTGTATGTAAGGAAGGTAACGCGTTATCGAAATAGCTATATTTTGTAGCTAAGATAATTATGAATGTTACTCTGTTGATTTGTTATCCATGGTAATGTAATTAGTTTTATCGTAGAGTTATCACGACGCCTCGAGTTTCCAACCATGTTGCGCAAATTACCTTATTTGCACTTGGCTTAGTCATTTATGTATGTTGATCTGTTGATTTATTTTCCCTGGCAATGGAATTAAAGTGCCTTACATAATTTTATTGTAGTTCTTACGGCGCCTAGAGTTTCTAAGGTTCTTGTTTGGATGTCGGAAACAAAGTCAACAAAAAAGACTTGGTATTTGAAATGTGTAAAATATTCCTCACAATATTATTTGAATTAAACAATGATGTATTTAGTGAAAACCAGATCAAGCGGTCAATCCTTTGGACAGTTGCAAGCATTCTTGGGGAACTGTAGATGACTACTACAGTTTTCACCAGTGTTTGGGCAGCATCCTTGCTGTGGAGTGTGATGTAGTTTTGTAACACAGCAGTAATTGATAATCTATGACGAGTAGTACAAATGTATTTCCAGAGGAATATCGTTTAAAACAGATTTAAACATATTGGTCGAACAAAATCAGATATTTTCAATGTGAGGGTTATTGTGAAATAAAAGAGTGGTTATATTATTGTAAGGAACTTTGTCTGCGAATCGTCAGTTAATGTCATATATAACATTTTAATTGGTGGCACACAATTAGAATACATGGCCACCCCTCATTTACATTTACTGCCAAGGACACACAGTGAAGTTTCGCCTTATTGCATCACAGGTGGAGGTTAGTTTGCATGTATTTGGTGGAAGTGTGTCATTGTTCCACATGTTCGCGGACGAAGAGGTAGCGCTACTGAAAACAGGTGAAATTCACAATGAATGCTGGAGTTAAGAAGAAACTGAGCCCTAATCCCAGGATCAGTGCCAATCCGCTGTCACTCATCACATTTGGGTGTGTTACAAACATTGTGCAATTCTGTCGGTCCTATCTCTGCGTATTAATGAAAGTATTAATCATTACTGTTGCAAGTTGTTTATGCCACTTTAATTTGTTAAGATCTTGCAGTTTTTTGAAGAAAAGGAGAGGCTTGGTTAGATAGCCTACATGAAGTGGGAATGTCATATGAAGAAGAATAATAACAACAAAACAATGTATTCTTGTGATTCGTGTTCTATAAACTTTGTATCATTTTATTTACTTTCAGATGGGTAGTGGACATCTTTAGAAAGGGATACAAGAAAGACCTGGAAATTGAAGACTTATATGAAGAACTTGATGAACATCGGTCTAGTTATTTGGGTGATGAGATCGAGAGGTGAGAGTATTTCCATATTCCTTGGATGGCTTATTTGCACTTGATTTACACAAATGTTCCAGTAATTTTATTACTCTTCGTATTTGAAGTAAAATGCTAGAGGAAATAAATAATATACAGAAATATGATGAAATCCTCTCGGGGGACCAGCCACTTAAATTTGTAACAGAAGTCCATCATTTCAGAGAATGATGTGATGGGTAACCATAGTTTGTTATATATGTGTATAATCAGTGTCTCTTCATGTGTTGTCAATGGCTAATGAGGGTAAGGGGGCAGAGTCACATGAAACCCATCTTTAAACATTTGCTCAGAGCTGCTGTACCTGGAACTTTGTGTCAAAGTGACTCAACCAATGTTGTTTTGAGGAGAAAAAAGAAATGGATAAGAAAAAGTGAAACAGTCATTTATCTGTCGCTGGTCGAGATGTTCCGTCATTTGCAAGGCTTTCGCCCCTCCAGTCGTGCCCCACTCTGTGTAGCTTAAACAAACCCATTACTTGGATGTTCCTTCTTTTGTTCTTGTTCTGCCTCCGTGTCGCATAACATGGCTACGGACCTCTCTGACCTCATCCTGTCTGAGTGTTGCTTAACCATCTGTGTCTTCTGGTGGATGTTGATGAGAGGATACCATGCCTGGTTCAACATAAATCCCTTGTCTCTGTTGAAATTATTGGAGTGCAATCATATTTCAGCCAGAGGTCTTGGTTAGTACTGTGACCTCCAAGTCAATTTTATGTCCATTTTCATTGCTGTGTTCTGCTACCACATGTAACATGCATTCAAGTTGAGATGTGTGTCCATTGACTAGTTAGCAATATATGTACCACTTTGGTGTGAACATACAGCTTCAACATTCTGAATATACAGTATATAGTGAAATGAGAAAACTCTTTAAAATTTTACAATAAAACATTCTCTGTTTGCCTGAGGATTGTGTGCAGTGGGCTGGCTTTGGTGTTAGTGGTGTTGAACCATGCAGTTCTGTTACCATAGTGTTAGTTGTAAGACTTGAGGTTCTCACAGCGGTGAGTATGAAGATTTTCGTCTTCTGGGTTGTTGCGCTGTGTAGTCTGGTCGATGTTAACCAACGTTTCAGAGGTCATACTGCCTCCGTCATCAGGGCGATGACGGAGGCAGTATGACCTCTGAAACGTTGGTTAACATCGACCAGACTACACAGCGCAACAACCCAGAAGACGAAAATCTTCATAGTGTTAGTTATTGGACAAAAGAAGCCTTGTATTTTATCTTCTACAACTGGAACACATACATTGGCTAAGTGACTTGTAATTGCAGCATCCGTTGTTAATGAAACTGTGAAGAACAGAAAGGAAATAGATAAGCGATTTGCTCAGTATAGGCAGTTTTATAAAACAGGAAGAGTGTGATACAATTTGTGTTGCATCCCTTATGAATTTGTTAGCACCATGGAATGTATTGCCTATGACTTTAGGTTAAAAGTATGATACATTGCTTTTTCGTTGTAGTAAACTACATTTCTACTCATACAAGATGACTTGCTATAGAAAGTTCATAGAAACATTTCTGGTGAATAAATGGAAAAATTAATTGATTTTAGAAATATCATGCTATAATTGTATTGTATTTCATAGTTCTGTGTGTGGTCTCTGGATTTTACCAAGGACCTTGTGAAACTGTCAGATATGCTTGTGTGTACCTACTTGATATACCTTGTACATGATGTTATTGTTTTTTAGGTTATGGAATTCTGAGTTGAAAGAAGCCAGTGCCAGAGGTTTAGACCCCAGTTTGCTCCGAGTTCTGATCAGATGCCATGGTCGGTATATTATGTTCCTTCAGCTTGTTCTGGCTTCTGTAGAGTTCTGTCTTGTGTGAGTAGACATGCATGAATTAGTAAAAGTTTAAAGATAAACATTCTTATATTATGGATAAGTCCACAAACATACTCAGCCACACTCACTCTTATAGTCACTAACAGACACACTCGCATACTACTCTGACACAACACTGACATGCTCACATGCCCACTCACCCACTCTTACATATACACACTCATACTGACACTCACATGACCTCACACACTGCGTGTAGCGTGTATCTGTTGCCGTAAAAGCCCGAATGTTGGTGAAACCTAGAATATACCAGACAAACCTAGGTTTTACCAAAGAGTATTGGTAAAAGGCCAAAAAGAGAAAGATTCACGTCTTATTTCAGGGCTTTACCATTCACTGTTGGTAAAACCCCATATTCCACGAGAAGACGGTAAAAGTAAAGAGAATGGTATAAATTTAGTAACTCGGTCTTGTAATCAATGTTTTTTTATATTTGCGGTTCCATAAATTACAACTTTAGAAACATACATTCCTTATCTAAGTTTCTTTAAAACAAGTTTAACAGAAGTCAGAATAATAGATAAAAACACTGCAAGAAATAGAAAAATTGTGAAATAAAAAAATATGAGACATTTCAATTATCAGAGTACATTTTTTCACAGCTGTTTCAAGACTTATAACACACCACAGGATTTGCTAACCTAACCTTCTTATGGTACATCCTAACATTTACCAACACCCATCGGTAAGACCCCAAAATAAGACGCGAATAGTTCTTTTTTTGACCTTTTACCAACACAGTTTGGTAAAACCTAGGCGTGTCTGGTAATTCCAGGTTTCACCAACATTCAGGGTTTTATGGTAACATGTGTATGTAAATGAGGTTGGTGCGAGGTGACTCTTGCAGTGCGACCATTAGGTGCTTTTTTATTCGTGCTCTTCTTATAATCTTCTAGGAGCCCTGTGCTAGCAATGAACGACAGTACCCTATTTAGTGGAATCACATGATAGTCGCCTGGTTTCGGGAATAAACTACTCAAGTAGCAAAATAAAAGTTCAGCCAATGCCTCACAATCACAAACAACATATGAGGCTGTTTCTGTTTTGCAGTAACACCTTCTACAATTGTAGTTGCTTACTTTCCCCAACATACACACACACACACACACAACTTTTTTTAGCTGACTATGTGGAAGTGACATCTTAATTGTTTAATCATGCCTGATATTGGAGCACAACAGATTAATTTTTCTGATATGCTTAACAGTGATATTTGTCAAGAAACCATATAAAATATATTCATATGATAATATTCATGTCTACCATTACCATTCCAACATAAATGTAGTTTGTCACAAACTAATGTATAGTTTGATAGAATTCTATTAATAACAGAGTTTCTTGCTTTTGACGCGCAGGTTGACGCAGCCGCTGTTTCTTGGAGGACTGATTCGTTACTTTGCTCCAACAGACGCTGTTACTCGTACTGCGGCTTTTGGATATGCCGCCTGCATTGTTGGCTGCACATTTCTTACCGCATTTGTCTGTCATCCTCATAATTTGGGTGTTTTTCATGTTGGAATGAAGATTAGAATTGGACTTTGTTCTTTGATTTACAGAAAGGTAAGAAATACTGTGAGGGTTACTAGTTTATAGGTGAGCCATGACCTCCAGCTTTGTCGTTACTTTGTAATATAAGCAGCAGGTGGCTATATTGTAGATATAGTAGCAGGAAATGTTCTGTCAGCCTTTAGGAAATACACTAGTATTCAGAGTATATACAAGCGTATGTCTAATATACTTTTCTGGAGCATTTATAATAATAAAATAAGTTGAATTCTTGACCCATTCAGTTTTGATATTTAGCAGTCTTTGTCCAGTGATAGTGGTTTGGTGTAACTGTGCTGCTGATTTGTTCTTAAATATAGCCCTTTGGCTAAAGGCTCTGAACTGTCTTGGTAGACTTCCCTTCCAGTATAATTTCTGAAATTTTTGTGTGCTATGTTTATGAATTCTGGTTGCAGTGTAAGAATCATGATCATTTATGCCACCCATATTAATCTAATCTAGGGTTATGTTGTATTTCCTTTCATAATTCATGTCCAGATTATTTGGGTTTACTGTGGTGTAACATGGTGGATGGTCTTCTTGGTTGTGATACTGTGTCGACTTGTAGGTGAATATCAAGGTTTCAGAGAAAGATACTGTCTCCTTCTTCAGGGCTGAAATGAAGGGTCTTAGGAAGTGGATGGTTTTCATGGGATTTAGTACAAGGACCAAGACAGGTTTAGTTTTTAGAACAGCCTACAAAGGACAACTATTAAGGAATACCCATTTTAGGGATTTTCTCCTTCTCCTAACAGTTGAGTCCTGAAGATGGAAGCAGTATGTTCCTCCAAAATATTGGTACCCATCTACAAGTCCATATGGCTTCATAACTCAAAAGACCACCATTGACATTTTCACAAATTGTGAGAACCTCAGTTTCTACTTGTGTTTGGTCTCTGTCCATGCTGCATCACATTGCTTAATCTGTATTTATTGTTCTCAGTGTTGGCATTATAATTTCAGGCATTAAAGTTGAGTAAGACTGCTTTGGGTGAAACAACTGTTGGTCAAGCGGTGAACCTTCTGTCAAACGATGCAAGCCGATTTGATGCAATGTTTTTGTTTGTGGCATATGTTTGGATTGGGCCAATACAAATGGTGATTATTATGTACTTGGTGTGGCAGCAGATTGGAATTGCTATGTTTTCTGGAGTGGCAAGTGTTGTGCTTCTAATTCCACTGCAAGGTACTTGAAACCAATATTTCATATTGTTCTTGAAGGTTTGTGATATCTGTAGATTTCCTCTACTCACACTTTATAATTTGTAATAATTCTATTCTGATTTCTTCACTTTATAAGTGATAAGTGACCAGGGCTCTGGAGTCGGTACTAAATCCTCTGACTCCTTCATAAAAGCTCAATATGTATTAATAATGGTAAACCTACTAAAATGGTAAATGGTACCATAAGAGATCTCATTACCACCACGTGAATCAAAAGGCTACTTTTTAGACTTATAACCTATATTTAAGTATAAGTCTAATGGTTATTGCACAAATCAATTGATTTGTAGACAGTTTGTATTCTTAAGGTACCAGAGCAAAAGTTACAAAGCATTATTCCCACACCATGTGGCTCAATGCGTCATTGAATCTCCCTAAGTGTGAGGCCGCCGGCGGCTCACACGGTAGCGAAAGTGTTAAAATAGTATTTTCTTAAGATTTTATATCAAGGTTGGAGTCGGAGTAGGTACATTTTTACGAACTTGAACTCTACCTAAAATTGCTTCCAACTCCACAGCCCTGTATGTAACCACCATGTTTTCTTTCTTTCTGTTAAATGTACCAGCTGTTGTGAAGTAGACTAGATATTTTGACTATTGATGTTACTCTGGCCTGTCTAAACTTTAATGTTGGTGCAACCACATATTATTTTCTGCCTTCTGTATAATGGTGCCTCTGCTGCTGTTGTTTCTATGTTTCATTTATAACATGGTTCTGCTTGGTTGGCTTTACACCCATAAATTAACTAATTATCTCACTTTATGGAGCACAGTCCCTGAGAAGCTAGTAGTCATTCAGCCAGTCAAGAAATGTCCTGCCTTGCATGGAGCCTGCAGTATTATTATTACTGCATTAACAAGAGTCTGCTTGCCACTGGTGTCTGTCCTGTGCCAGACGATTCCATCTTTTCTGTTATGTATGGTTTTGATTGTTACTGTCATTCACAAATACAAAAACTTTTGTTACATTTTCAAAGGGTTTATTAAATCTATTTATATTATGGTTTCATTATTTATTTCTCCATTCTAGTGGAAATTATGAGCACATGATTTAGTTTCCAGCATAGAAGCTTGTGTGTACCATTCAGATCCAGTTTCTCCTTAGTTTCAGTATCATGACCATCAATATCCTATCTGCATCCATGATAGAAGCTGCTGCTCAAGCCCACTGAGTTGTGTTTAGTTTCACTGATTTGCCCCACAACTTTGACTCTGGGAAGTAAAATTAAGGCTTTTTGTTATGTTTCACTTAGAAAATCCAGAAGTATTAATGTTTCCCATTTTCAGTATACATGGCAATTTACAGGAGCAGAATTCCCATGTATATTGAGTCATTTGTACTGTAATTGCATGGCTGTTGGTACAAGTAATGTAATAGTGTTGAACTGGTTGCCTATATCTGTATATTATTTTTTGGGGTAACAGGTATTTATTTGAAGAGTATAAGGTTATTCCAGTAGGACATGGATGATGTAGAGAGATCAAGTGATAAAAAAAACATACAAAACATGAGTAGTTAAAGCAGGGATACAGATGGAAGAGGAACACTTGTGTTTGCTGTCCTTCATTTAAAATTATTCATTGTTTTAGTGCTGAGGTATTGCCTAAAACTTGCCTCCCCTAAAGATTACAAAGCCATTTTGTGTAAAATGCAGATGCACTGAAAAATTCAAAGAAAATGGTGTTTGTAAAGACTTTATTTTTGAAATTATTATCAGTAATATTTTTTATTGTTACAGTTTAAATACTATGCTTCAGATAAATTGCTTACAAACAAAGCTAATACAAATTACTGTAAGAAAACACAGAAAGTGCATTAGTGTCATTGTTATTCTCATAACAGAAGTATTTCTAGGACAGCCACTAACAGTGGTTAATTTTTGTGAACACTTCTCTTGTCTTCTGCCAGCATAAAGATAATTCTTACCATTTGAAAGTATAAGCAGTCACCTTGAAGGCTACATGTGGCACTTCATGCCATCTATCAGCCAGAAGGATATACTGTTGCTGACTTTGCTGTCTTCTTTGGCTCTGGCAATCTCTACATGAGAGTGGCACTAAGAGTGTTAGAAATGCAGTAAATACAGTTTATTATTTGAACTGCTGCTTTTGTTGTTAGCTAATTTACGTTTAAATCCATCCATTCTTTAAAAACAGTTATTTCATCTAGTTTCATATATTCAGGTTTGTGAACGTATATTTCTTACCTTTTAGCTTTCATTGGTAAGATGATATCTACGCTACGTCTGCGCACAGCTAAAAGAACTGATCAGCGCATCAGATTTATGAATGAGATTGTTGTTGGCATCCAGGTGATTAAGATGTATGCTTGGGAGAAACCATTTTCACATCTTGTTTCTGTAGCTCGCAAGTAAGTATCTCTCAGCGTATTTGCATTCTGCTTAATTAAAATGCTTATTTTTATTCTAATACTGATTCCATAGTTTGCCTCTCACTGAAGAAGGAATTGAGGAAGTTTTTGATGAAAGCCTGTGGGGGGAGAGTAAATGACAATTTTGTAAGTTCTGTCAAGAAATTGAATTTGTTGCCTTATCATTTTCATTCTTCACTGCATTTTGAAGGTCCATTGAATATGAAACTTTTCTTGTTCATTATAGGCCAACCATACTTGCATGCCAATTTTGTTAGTCTTATTTTCTGTGTTGGATATAAAATGTCTTGCCTTTCATATCATTAATTTCTTTATGCATGAGTGGAAAATAATGGAATCATAAATGATTTTAAAATAATTTCAGACGAGAAATCCAAGCTGTGAGGGCTTCATCCTATATGCAAGGCATTCTTCTATGTTTTGGATGGTTAGTAGGAAGAAGAATTGCTATTTTTATGAGCTTGGTGACCTATGTTTTTCTCTACGAGAGTGTCACTCCTGAGAAGGTAAATTTGTTAAATCATATTTCATGTGAAGTGTTGAATTCAGCATGAAGAATATTTGCTGTTTTGGTCAGAGTTCTTGAGTATAACCACATATAATGAATATGGTTTGAACCATTCAGGTGCAAGTGGATTGCTCTGAGAGCTGTAAAGACATAAACCATTTTTAAAGAAACACATTTTAGACTTGAGGGCACCTCAAACATACTTATCTATTAATATCCTAATGATATATTCTGTTTATCACATTCACAATATTTGGTGTGTGAGGAAATAAGAAAACTTGCATATCATATTTATAGATGCACTTCTGATCTGTCTGCAGGGTTATTAGTGAGGAAAATTTATTGAAACTTCTTGGCTGTTTATTAAAAGCTGCTGAGTTGCTATTACATACAGGTTCAAATATCACTCAATAATTTTCTCTAACAAAATCAGTCATTAGTGAGTTAATATACACTGTTTTTGCTTCAGTAATCTTGCAATATCAGGTTTAATTTCTGTTGTTGCAGTTTGTATGCATTCCTCCAAGTGTTTGTCACTAAGGCGCAGCCTAGTTTCTTGATTAGATGTTCTTCATTAACCTGTATAGTTGCTCACAGTGAAAGGTACTGGCAAATCTGATGACATTAATAAAGCATACTTTTTGATATTAGTAATTATTTTTTATCACATAGTATTACAAAATGTGTATGTGGGCTACATAAAAGTTATCAGTATGCTGCATGCTAGCTGCGGGTTGAGAAGCCTTGATCTGTATGCATGCATACATAAATCCATCCATCCTACTGATTTTAATATGAAAGGTAAATCGTATCAGCATATTTATTCATTTGCAAGGTGACTCTACTTTGTTGTTGTTTCAGATGTTTGTGGTGACTGCGTACTTTAACATTTTGACAGAGTCCATGACAAGTTATATTTCATTTGCAATAACACATATTTCTGAAGCATATGTTTCTGTTCAGAGGATTAAGGTATGTATTTTTATGTGATTATTGTTAATACTGTATACAGGTGAGTCAGAAGTATGTTTACAAAATTCATGTACATGTTCCAGGATTAAAAATAAGAAAAAATGTTCCTATGAACATGGGGTCGCAAATGTTTCATTTTCACTGATTGAAACTTATTTTTGGCTATTATTTCGAAAATGAAACATTTGCGACACCATGTTCATAGGAACATTTTTTCTTATTTTTGATTCTGGAACACCCACACAAAGTTTGTAAACATACTTCTGACTCACCTGTATACAGTTCCAGAGTATTTCACTAACAGTGTACAGAGAGGCTCCTAGCTGGAAAGACCTAGGCGTAGTTGGGAGGATAAAATTAAGATGGATCATAGGGAGCTGGCTCAGGATAGGGTCTGGTGGCAAGCTTTTGTCAACATGGTGATGAACCTTTGGGTTCTATAAAGGAAGTGAGCTATTCTTTGACAAGTTGAGTATACAATAGACTTTTCAAAAAAAAATCCTGCCCCATTGAGTGAATGAGTGAGTGAAGGTACAGAGAAGTTTATCCAGCAGTTATTACATTTTCTTCCAAACAGTTGCAGTTAGTCATTTCATTGACATACACAGAATCTGCTGGAAGATTTCCACCATGATAAGAAGTGTGCATTTTTTTTCAATGAATGACTACATGTTCTTTTGAAAACTTAGTTTCAGCAGTTTTTGTGTTTGTGTCCAACCATCGTGTGTTACAGCAATGAGCAACATTTGTTACTTTTTGAGATTGACATTAGAAGAAAGAAATTTTAAAATCATATAATGAATGTGTTTATAAATTTTGTTGGCAGTATCTGGATTTTCTTTTACCCTGTTAACTGTATTTGAAAGTTGTGCATTTAAGTGACATGAAACTGGGTCATTTACTTGTAGGAAGTGGAATCAACTTACGCACGTGTTGACACTACATTCTCCAAGACATCCACACAAGACTTGTCTTGAATTCAAGAAAATCACTTCTTTTGTTATTGCGAGAAGTAGCCATTCTTGGAACAATGAAAGTCCTGAAATTTTGTCCATCATACAGCATAGCTTCTGTGATTGTTATTTTTTATATACAAAGAAACATGCACATTGGTACAGTTTGTGATTACTGAATAGAGCTTTTAATATTTGATTCTGTTTATTTTTCTGGATTATTATTTTACAGAACTTCCTGCTATATGATGAGATAGCACATGCGGCTGGTCTGAATACAGGTAGTGGGATGTCTCCAGTACATGATTCTGTTGATGACGATGATTGTAGACTTAGTAATGGCTGTTCGGAAGTGAAGCCAAATTCAGAGAAAAGCAAGCCAGACGGGGCTGACTATATTGATACACGGACTAGAGGTGATCATACAGACACAGAAAATCCCCTGGAATTTTCTGGTGGAATCAAGATTACAGGTGTGACCGCCAAGTGGACTGATGATTTGCCTGAGAACACCCTAACTGATGTGAGTGTGGAAGTGAGAACTGGAGGACTAATGGCTATCATTGGACCTGTTGGATCAGGGAAGGTTCGTTACAGATGCGGGAGATAAGATACAATAAACACTGCTCTGACTTTACTGTACGGGACTAATGCTGGAATGTTTGTTTATTGCTGTGCAGACATCGCTAATCCATGCCATCCTGAAGGAACTGCCCCTTACCAGTGGCTCCATAGTGGTGGGAGGATCAATATCGTATGCATCACAGGAACCGTGGCTATTCATAGCCTCTGTACAACAGAACATACTATTTGGGCAGCCCATGGATAGGAACCGGTACAGGCAAGTGGTGAGGGCCTGTGCCCTTGAACAGGACTTCAGACAGCTGCCCCATGGTGACAGGACAATTGTGGGAGAGAGGGGTATCACTCTCAGTGGTGGACAGAAGGCGAGAATTAGTCTTGCAAGGTGTGTAACAGCTTTGCCCCTTGAAGACTTGTTTAAATTGCAATCTGCATGCCTTTACAGTTGCACTTTGGTGGCTGCAGGTCTCTGTTATTGCAGTGTAACTCAAGAAGAACTGTAAATTGTTACTGTAATTCATTTCTCATTCAGATTCTTACTTCACTTATATTGGCTTGTCTTTTTAATGAGGTCCATGGATTATGAAATCATCTTAATTTAATAGGATTGTAGTTCCAAAACAGATTTCTGACATACTAATTTGGAAAATTCCTCCAGATTTGGTCCTATTACCTTTGCCAAAAGAAATATTTGAGGACATCTATTTTTGAAGTTATTCTTCCTTATTATATGTGGAAAGTCCAGTAGCATCTGCCAGGGATTGATTATTGGAGATAAAGGTTCAATTTAAACCCACATCAGGTGACTAGTAAATAAACATGTATCACCATTATCAATGAGATTAAAAACAATGTGAGATTTGTGATTAAAATTGTCCGGCATGCAGTGAAATCCTCCACGAGAAGAATTTCAAAGCCCAAATCTTCTGAGATAGTGCCCATCATCTTAGATCTCCAGAAACTCAAGCTTCTGTGAGTTTCATGTCTTTGGGCCTTTGAGGTAGGCACACAAAGAATGCTGATTCCAGTCGCACAGGGAAACATGGCATGCTGTGTGTTGTTTATTTTACCAGAAGATAATGGAATTTTACAAGTCTGTATCCAGCCCTTAGTAACTCAGCAGCATATCTCAGTTCAATGTGACTTACTTGACTGGACCCAATTGAACTCTGGTGATTGACCTTGGGCACTTCCATGTAATTATTCTATTTACATTTTAAAGAACTTGTCATTAACATCAACTGTTACCTCTTCGAAGGGCTGTTTACAAAGCTGCAGATATCTATCTACTGGATGACCCACTATCTGCAGTGGATGCCCATGTAGGTCGCCACTTGTTTGATGACTGCATCTGTGACTTCCTGCAGGGAAAGACGCGAATACTAGTCACACATCAACTGCAGTACCTTCATACAGCTGATAACATTATTATCCTCAATCATGTAAGTTTATTACATTGTATCACAACATATTTATAGTCACTATACATTCATTTCATGTTTCAATTCAAGAACCATTGGACAGATTTTTATAAAGTTTGGTGTGAATATTATGCCGTTGGAGGTCACCTTGTTGGATGTGCAGTTTGTGAGGGGAATGAGCAACACTAGCACCACTTTAATTGAGCCCTCAAATGGTTTGTAGTATCAGGACATTCTGATATGTTCAACTTTTGTTAAGGCAATTTTTTGTAGAATATAAAGTAACATGGCTGTCTTGTAAATTTTCTTTGGCACTTGGTTTAACAGAATGAGCCGGCGTAGCTAAGTCAGTATAGTGACTGGCTACGGACTGGGCAACCGGGGTTCGATCCCCGACGGGGGCAGAGGATTTTCCCTTTAGCCTCTGCGTCCAGACCGGCTCTGGGGCCCACCCAGCCTCCTATCCAATGGGTACCGGGGTTCTCTCCCGGGGATAAAGCACGGCCGGGGCATGATGCTGACCACTCACCCCCATCTAGTGCCGAGGTCAAGATTGAGTAGGAGCTATACCTCCACTCCCTCCCCAAGCGCCTACATGGTGGATAGTGAGACAGCTTTACTTTACTTTACTTGGTTAAACAGTTGTAACTAATGAACTGACTGTTAGAGAGATGTACAGGATGTACAGTGACTTTATGTCAGTACTTTGGTATCTTGAAAATGGCTGTCTTCAGACTCACCGCCATGAAAACTTCAAATCCTACTTTAGAATCTTATTCCTGAGATCATTCCCAGTCAGAAATGTCATGTCATTTGAACATACATCCAGTTCACAATGGATATTTGAAATTCAAAACGATTTGAACCTTATTTAGAACATTGTGTCATTCATGTGTCTTGCAGCGTAAAAAAATCGATAATGAAGTTGCTTTCTTTTTTTGTGCTGTGACTAATGTTTTTTTAAAAAGAAAGTTCTATGTGAGCCAAAAATGTCATTACAGTTTTAGATTTTTTACACAGGGAACAGTAGAAGATAAGGGCACTTATATTAAACTGTGTGAGTCTGGAATTGACTTTGCCAAAAAACTTGCTGTGGAGTCAGAAGAACATGAGGAGAAGGAAAAGTCCACCACTGATAGCTTACAGTCATGTACATACAGCCGGGTGCGTCATGCATCAGAGACTTCTACTGTGGTAAGCATATCTTATGGTGGTTGTGCATAGTTAACATTTTTGTATGAGCTGCAAATGACTTTTTGCTTAAGAGATATTTAGAAAAATAGCTCTGTGATCTTTTATAATTTCTGTCAAGAAACCTCCATATTACAATATCTTCATGTGTAACTTGATAATGTTTGTAAAGTTGGTAAAGTGTATCTGTGTGCCAGCTGATTTTAGATTAGTAGATTTTAAGTAATTCTGCTGGATGGATTAGTGATACTAAATATTGGAAGACTGTAGTTAAGTTGTAGGATTTGAGGTTTTCACACCGGTGAGACTGAAGATTGTTGTCTTCTGGGTTGTTGCGCCGTGTAGTCTGGTAGATGTCCACCAACATTTCAGAGGTCCATGCTGCCTCTGTCATCAGGGCGATGAATGAGCGCTAGGTTTATAGGGACCGGCCAGTAAACAGAGTAGCCTGGCCCTAAGCAGTTGGAGCAGGTGTCAAATCAGGTGTGGGTGGGGACCAATAGGAGTGCGTGGGTGTGTGAGAGAGAGGCCTCTCTTTGTATATAATTATATAACAAAGTTGAAGATGAACTGTAGGCCTATCCTTGTCGTACATAAGATATTCTTTATATTGTAGTATTTTCGATAATTTTTATGATAAAGTTAAATGGCTTTCATAATATATGAAAGGTATAAGAGTCTTTGTTGAATTTTGTTTTGTAAAATTATTTATGTGGATTTTGTCGGTCACCTAAATTATAAGATAGTAAAGTCACAACATTTTAGAAATGGCTGTCATCTGTACAGTCTGGTAGAGGTGTACCGACGTTTCAGAGGTCCATGCTGCCTCCATCATCAGGGTGAACGTCGGTAAACTTCTACCAGACTACACAGCACAACAATCCAGAAGACAGCCATCTTCAAACTCATTGTGAAAACCTCAAATCCTACGTTTTGGAAGCTAGCTTCTGCTTCCATCTTGAAATAAAAAAGGGGAAGGGGGTAGAAACCCTGTCTGTCTTTCCACCTGGTTGAGCTAGCCTCAAAGTAAGTAAAGTAAAGCTGTTCCACTATGAGCCATGTAGGCACTTGGGGAGAGAGGAGGTATAGCTCCTACTCATTCTTGACCTCAGCAGTAGATGGAGGTGAGTGGTCAACATCACGCCCTGGCCGCGCTTTACCCCCAGGAAAGGACCCCGGTACCCATTGGATAGGAGACTTGGTGGGCCCCAGAGCCGGTCTGGACGCAGAATCTAGAGGATAAATCCTCTGCCCCCATCGGGGATCGAACCCCGGTCGTCCAGTCCGTAGCCAGTCACTATACTGACTGAGCTATGCCGGTTCCTGAGTAGCCTCAAACATGATAAATTAATTCAGCTATAGAAGTCAATTATAATACACACAACTGTGGTAGTCCATAGGCTTGTGAATGATTTATAAGTGTCTCTGTCATCAGGGTAGATTGCTCCATCATCACCCATTTGCCCTGATAGAGATGGAGACAGTCTCTGGAACTTTTGATTGCAATTCCATATTTACACAGCTCTTTGCCCTCTTTTGGCTACTATTTTTTCTGCATTATTGGATATTACAGTGCATTTTATGTAATTGATGTCTTCCAGAGATGATGTATAATTTTTTTGAACTTCAGCAATAAGTTTTGGAATTGTAAACACAACATGACTATGTTATAATGCGCAGAGCTCAGTGTCTTGGTCAGAGCAAGAGGTTGCGGCTGAGATGAGGTCACATGGTGTTGTGAGCTCCAGCGTGTATCGGACATATTGCGCAGCTGGAGGGAGCTGTGGGTTCACTCTCTTGGTGTTTGGTGTTTGCATACTCTCACAACTTGCTATCAGCTCAGGAGACTACTGGTTATCTGTTTGGTATGTACAGTTATTAAGAAGATCTGTTGAGTCTTATTGGGTTTTAGGACCATATTGCTTTGAAAATGTTGTTTATTAAAATACAATGTTGGAACACAAAAGATTCATCATGTCATGACAAAATAGATGTAAAATTGTTAGATCCTGAGAGCGCACGTGAGTTGGAAATGTAGTACTTGATGTCAGAGTGTTTGTGGCTGCAGTTACAAGCGTTCTTAATTGTTCGTTCTCTTATAATATGAAAATCTGTCCAAAAGGTAGGTATATATGTTCTACTTCATCAAGCATTTTTTTGAAGTTCTGCTGGTATTGGGGTAAGATACCAGAGCCTCATTGATCTGAACCATGTTATCTGGCTTCAGTTTCTTTGAACACATTGAGGCCTTCTTTATAATTTAGAGCCCACATTAATCTTTGTCATGGAACAAGGTTTAAATCTTTATGTTATGGTGCTGCTGGCGAGTCTTAGCTTTAGTGTTAAGTATGTAGCATTATGATAAGGCAGTGTACAGACAGTCGAATCGTGAACTGCGTCACAAGGTCAACTCTGTTTTCTATCACTGCGAGTAACAGAATGTACCTCCAAAATTGTTTTCTCAATGCTGTCAGGCAGGACAACATAACTCGAGATTGTTGCTACAAATTAGATTGAAAGAAATATTTGAAGTTAGAATTTTGAAACATGACCATCTTTGAGTGATAAAATCCTTTTGGGCATTCATCCATGTCAGTTTAGCTTAGAAATCCAATGTTTCAGAGACCTTCTCTGTATCTATCATCAGGAAATCACATTTCCTGCATTCCTGTAGAGCCTATGCTATGTACAGAGCATGTTCATAACATAATAGCTGTTAAATGCTGTTTGTTGTATGTCTGCAGTGTTTATGCCATTGACTTTTCTGGCTTCTGTTCATATGGCAGAATGAATGAAGAAAAAATCCACGAGACAGACAGTTGTTCTTAGTGATACAATGATGTTTGACAGGGGGATCATTGCCATCCAATGTGTTCATTGCAGCAGGCATACGTATTACGTTTTAGGAATTATATCAACTGAATGAAGACTATCAGTAGATGAGTCCCTTGCACTATGGAAGGAGTGTCTCATATATATGTAATCCTGACTCCAAAATCACCAGAGTTTGGATTAAAGACATTTGGAATGTATAACTTTACAGCAGGATATTTAGGTCTTCTCTTATGTGCATTGTAAAAGGTGGTAAATTAACATTGCTCTTTAATAACACCAAACAACAAATGGAATGATTGTATTTAATTATGATGTCTGTCTGACTCAGTGCTGAAACTGAAGCTGTGAGAAATCTGGGGGAAAGAATGATGCTGTTTGTATGCTGGATTCCAATAATTGCAATGGAGATATTGACTTGAAACTACTGGCTCTTACAGCCATTATGTAGAAATTAAAAACTACCGACACACTTGATATAAAATTCATGTTCTTTTGTTATGGTGACATGTTTCAGTACAATTGTACCATCCTCAGGCCGAACTTTGTATGTCATGCCAACTAGAGGTCAAAATAGAATTAAAATTGAATAAAGGTTAAAACCGGTGCTTTGATTAAAATTGTAGTTAAAAAATAACAAATTTAAATTTATGTTGGCTTGTAACTTCAACTGAACAGTTATCTTCTGGGGCAACTGGAGGTAAAACTTATAACACTGTGAAGGATAGTCAGGCGTCTTGCCTGTCCTATTCTGTGTTCATAAATTTAATATGTTGAAGTATTTAGCAGTGTGGCAATGTTGTGTTTGTAGGTCTAATGTGGAAGAGAAGCGAGCAAGTCTGATTGAACTTCCTGAGAATAGTACAGTAAATGTGACATTTGCCATTGAAATTAACACATCTCTGCCATTTAATTACGGAAATTCCACCAGCCTAGCAGCCAAAAACTGTACGGAATGTGCCTGGCTGCCCAGCACAGAGACGTGTGTTCTTATATACACTGGCTTTTTAATCATCATATTCCTGCTTACATTTAGCAGTATATTATTATTCTTCACAATGTGTATGAGAGCATCAGTCAATCTCCATAATGAAATGTTTGCCAGCATCACACGTGCTACCATGTGGTTCTTCAACAACAACCCTTCAGGTAAATATATATTGTGCTAAGAATAAATAGTGTAATGGCTTGATGATTTCCGTGTTGTAGCTGAATCCAGAAATAAAAATGGCATCTGAACTTTGTGCAGCTTTTAAAAGATGCGTGTCACTCTAATACAAAACTAGAGTGATGAAAAGAGTGATAAATGGAGAAGAACTGTACCAGGATTTAAATGATATCATTACAAACATGTTTTAGACATCACAGTTTTGAGTTATGGGCCTTGTAAGTTACAGCATTCATGATATAGATGTGCAGGTATGTGTAGGTTTTGTCTTCAGAATGAACTGTAGACTAATGTATTATGTATGCAGACTGAAAACAGTTTAATTTTTAAATTAGTGTCAGTATATAAAAAGAATTCCCTATAGTAAATATGATAAATATTTTTCTACACATTGTATCTCCCGTTTAATGATAAACTGGATAATGTGTATGAAACTCTAAGGGAGGTTCCCAGATGTAATGTATTTAAATTTTTCTATTCAGTACTTCCTGAAGAGGATTCTGTTTTATTTTTGTACATGAATTTACGAAACTGGAATACCTTGATTATAACACTAATATTTATAGGATTGTTTCTTAATTTTCAGGTCAGATATTAAATCGTTTCTCAAAGGATATGGGATCTGTAGATGAGTTTCTTCCCCATACATTGATTGATTGTGTGCAGGTATGCAAGTTATTATTTCAGTACTCTGTAATCAGTGGTTGTGGTTTAATTTTCTGTTGTAACATTGCTGTTCATCTTCATGGCATTAGTTTATTTGTTAGCAGCAAACAGTTTTTACCAATCAAATAACTAAATAACTCCATGGAACAGTGGTCTTCTTGAGAAATTGATAGTTTCTCAGCCAGTCTATTAATTCTCCACATTTTATCGAACCCAAAGATTCATTGCTGTTTGTAAGTGTGTGAAGTCCAAGGCCTTTGCCCAGTTCTCAAGCTGGAGGACTGCCTGTGAGTGCTTATTTATTATATCTGCAGCTGTCCTCCATACAAGGTTCTCTCCACCACCCACAGCCTGAGGATGTGCTGTGCTGTGTCACAAGGGACACACTTAATTCACTTAACATGGTGAATTATTACACAGAATGTTGATTGATCATCTTTTATAAATCCATTAGAAATCTTTGTCTATAATTCTCTGATAACAATGAAGAATCAATCATCTTCTTTTAAATCCATTAGTGAGCTTTCCGTATGTTAATGAGTCAAGGAAGTGTTCCAGAATTGACTTTTAATTTGGGTTTCAGGTTTTCACAGTGGTCAGTCCAATGATGTCTGTCTTCTCGGTTGTAACACTGTGTAGTCTGGTAGAATTTTACCAACATTTGAGAGGTCCTACAACCCAGAAGACAACCATCTTCTGACTTAAGTTGTTTACATTTTCCATCCTGATCCAGAATAATTCACTCAACAAAGTAACTTACTGTAGCTGGATGATGATTAAGATTCTTGTTAGGGATTCAATTTTTCTTTTCAGCAGCATACCCAAACTGACTCTTGTGACGTGCTCAGCCCTTTGTTTAGAGAGTACTGGAGATTGCTTCTCAGGGAGCACGACACAGACTAATTGATCTCCTCTGCTACTGCCGAGATTAACAATGCATGGAGCTTTGTTTACACTCTCCAGCACAGCTTGGTGCGCTTTGTAACTGGGAGAAAATGAGTCCAATCATTGTCATGACTTTAAGCTCCAATTTTTATTTGATGTTGCAGATAGGATTGGCACTTCTAGGTGTGGTTTTGATTGTGGCAGTAGTGAACTTGTGGTTGTTGATCCCAACATCAGTGATGTTCGTTCTCTTCTATTTGCTGAGGGTGTGCTATGTCTCCACATCACGCAGTGTTAAGAGGCTTGAAGGAATCAGTAAGTTGACGTGTTTCTTGTGTATTGGGAGTGAACCAGTGAGTTTCCAGGCTAATACTTCTTGGTACAATAATTAATTTATTTAATATACGTGTACATATTACATGGACACAGGTTCCTACAAAGTCTTGGGTGAATTTTCTTGTATTAACAGTAGATACATGAGACCTTGTGATCTTTAACAACTGGACTCTTATTCAGAGGGTTCTGGGTTCACATCTGTATGCACATTTATTTAATCACAAACTGAAGCCTTTGACTGTGCCAAAGATAAAACTTCATGAAAGTGTAGAATACCAGGCTCCCACTGATTCTGATCCATTCATAAAGGTCAAATTCTGGTTTACTAGCCAAAGTTGTTACACAGTGTATGTTTTCTAAGTTTTTTCCTTATGTGTTGATTTGGAACAACTGTGCTTACCTGGAACTTTTCGCTGCAGATGGAAATGCAGAATTTTGTATCTTGTGGGATTTTACACTTCTCAGGCTCTTCTCTTTGAGTCTTTTTTATGTGACTTATTCTGTGAGATTTGGACTTTTCTTTACATAGTTCAGTGTTTTTCAGACCATTAGGTGTGTTTGTCTATAATAAAATGGTAACAGGATCTTTGTTTCAATAGCTATAGTTTAGTATGTACATGGGTTGCAGCCACTTACATTTAAAATTGTGTCAGTTTTTAACAAACTTGTCCGTCGTTACTACTATCATACATAATGAATTATTCTCGCGCTACCAGCTGTGTCAGGTGGTTGAATGGAAGAAAGCATTGTTGCTGTGGTGTGTACGTTGAAAGTTTACATTACTGTAACTTAAATCAGTTAGTAGTAGTTCCTTTACATTACATTTCATTTAGGTATTAGAAGTCATTTTGGTCATGTCATAATCTTACTCTGACAAGACAACTTCTTTGGGTCCTATTAAAAGTAGATATTGCAACCAAGCATTGCTGTCATTTGTAGAAGGAAAATTCTCCAGGATATTGTGTGTTTTAAAATGTTCTTCATTTACACATTCAAGATGTATTTATTTTGTCATTGCCAGATGGGTCTCCATACAGTTGTTCCCTTTTTCAGCTCGGAGTCCTGTCTTCTCCCATCTCAGTGCATCACTCCAAGGGTTGACAACTATACGTGCTTTTAGTGCTGAAGCCATGCTAAAAAAGGAATTTGACGCTCATCAGGTAAGTCTTTAACAAGATTGGAGAGGTACACTCTTCTGACTACAATGACATTCCAGAAGTGTTCTTCACACCTGTTACATTACAGTATGGTCCAACAGTGGCCTTTTGCCATTCTTGCACTTATGTGACCAGGATGGTTGAAGCACAGCAGTGTTAAAGCCTGGTGGCCAAAGCAGGTGAGAGATGTTCTGTGAGGCAAAACCCCAGTAGCAATAGTAATTGGGGCCGGGCCCCAGTGAAGCAAGCATCCTGGGGTACGGATTGGGTGATAAAGCCCCATGAGATAAATAATCTTGGTTGGGACTTTAAGGCATATGTGGGGGCATAATATTAAAATTGATTTTTTTATGAAATGGGATATAAGAGAGTGATCTGGATGTATTTGACTCAGGATAGGGACTAGCACTAGGTCCTTTTTGAACACAGTAGTGAACCTTCAAGTTCCATGAATGTGGGAAACTTGACTGACTGAACAGCTGTTTTGTTTATTGAATTATTCTCGGTCTACAAGCCGTGTAAGGTGGTTTAGCAGAGAAAACACCAACATTTTAAGAACCATCTTCGTCAGGGTACCCTGACGAAGATGATTCTCGAAACGTTTGTTTCTCCTCCATTAAACCACCTTGCACAGTTGGTAGCCCGATAAGAATTCATTATACTTAGTCGCTGTGAAAGCTAGATGATACAACTGTTGTGTTTCTCAAGAACTCTGCTCTGCTCCATGTTCTGCTGAAAGTTAGAAAAAATATACTCTTTTCTCAGGGTTCTTTCAGCAGAATATTTTCCTGTCAAACATAGAAATGTAATCCATTGTGCTGTATATGTGTGCACACGTGCGCCCGCCTGTGCCCGCCTGAACCCCAAACTTGTGTGACAATTTTAAGGGTATTAATTAAAAGTAGTTTGCATAATAATGGCCATTCATTTAGTTGCTGGTTTCTTATTGCAGAGGCTTATGTTGGAAGGAATTTGTAGGAATAAAGTGGTATTGGCACATGTATCTTCCCAAATATGTTGGTTTTCCCCTTCCATTAATGATTTCAGTTCATCTGTGTATGCTTCTGATGTGTAATAACCCTTCTCTTTCTACCTTAGATGGTACTTCCCAGTTTATGTTATGTTTTTTCAGGACTTGCACTCATCAGCCTGGTTCATGTTCATTGCATCGAGTCGAGCTTTTGCTCTGTGGCTGGACAGTGTTTGCCTCTTGTATATTGGTCTTGTCACCTTCAGTTTCCTGTTTGTTGATAAAGGTAATAGTACACAAACAATTTCTTTACCTTAACATTGACATCGTATAGCATTTGCCTGTTTCTAAACCATCCTCGGATTTTATTTACCAGTGTAATCGATTTTATGTCGGTGTTTAGCATTTCCTTTCGTCTGACTTTATCCTGCATTTATTTCATTCCAATCAAACTAGTTTTGTGATAAAAATTTGAAGTTTTATGTACTAACTGGAGAACAAATTCTGAATATACTGTATGAATTACCAACATTATTCAGTGTTGGTGTTGCTGGTGATATAAACTGAAGTAATTATGGGGCAAGCATGTTTAAATAAAGACGATAGGTAAAATTAGGCCTGAAATTTTCATTATTTCTTGTAAATAATTATGTGGATTGCATCATTTTTGAGCAGTCAGTCTGTAGGTTCGGACAAGTGTGTGTTTGTAGGGGGAAAGAACTTTAAGAAGATTGCCTGATATGAAACAGGCAAGATGGATTATTGACCCACTGCTATCGAAATAGGCTAAAGTGTGAAGCACCTATGTATCATTATGATAATCTGAATTAACATGCATTTGTGGTTGTCACTTACAAGGAACACAAATAGTACCATTCTGATGTTTGTTGCTTATACAACACATTAAATGAATGCATAATGGAGGGGATCTCCATATGTCTGTCTACATGTTTCATCACCAGAACTAATGAACAGATTTGAATGAAATTTGATATTGTTTGTGTACACTACATGTCAGAAGAATTTAATTTTTGGTTCATTTTGGCCCAGGATAACCCTTTCTTTCACAAAGCTTAGGTTAGATTTAATTTCTCTCAAACATGGATTATTGTGCAAAGAATTGGCACGGGGCATAAAATATAGACGTCAGTAACCTCTGACGCTTTTATTTGAAACATTTTTTGATGCAGTAAATATTTAATGAAATGTGTGCAGCGTACTTCTTGTTTATTTTCAGTTATTTTTTATTTTTTTTTATGTATTAATTGATTACTCTTCGAATTTAATCTCATACTGATGACAAAATGATACCATCCCCACTTGCATTCAAAGGGATGTCCAAGTTTGGGGAACTGGCAGACAGTGCAAACAAGGTGTCCATTAATTCACTGGTGACACACCAGGCATAAGACAATGTGGCACCCCTTGTAAACAAGGACTGGAACATAGAAATTTCCGACTAGCTCTCATGCAAAACTTGATTGAAAATGCTAGGAGTTTACCTTGTTTCCATTGTCCCATTGCAGACTATCTGTTATAGGGAGACAAATAAGTCAACTTGAGGTAAATTTCAGCATACAATGGCCAATTCATTCCTCCAGAATGAATTGTCCTGCATGTTTTGCCTAAGGGATGCAGAAGAGAATGCAAGTAAAGTTCAGGGAGAGTTATGTGGGGCCGTGTATTGGTATTTTGAAGAGTAACACAAAAATACTAAGTGTGACATATTGAGGCATTCTGGTAGCTTTAAAGATATGTAAAGAAAATGTAATGTATTTTGCTATTTGTTGCGCTGAGCTAAATGCATCATTAACAAAATGCACAAAGCCCTGCGTATGGGTGTCGCATATGATGAGACACTAGGATTTAAAATCCCAGCTTGTGGGTCACTTATAAGAGTATCTCAACATGATTACAACCTCAGTATTTCTGTGTTTGTTCCTCCAGGCAAATTCTGGCATTGTACTTTAGAATGGATCACCATGACTGTTGTGAGCATCGTCACTCATTCTTGCTTTCTCTACAATGGATTTAGAATGTCCAAAAATGCTTGCAGGACCATATGGTGGAGATGTAGGTCTTGCCATTACCCAATGTATAGGACTGATAGGAATGATCCAGTGGGGGATGCGGCAGTCAGCTGAACTGGAGAATAGTATGACTTCTTTAGAGCGTGTGTTAGAGTACACTGGTGTTGAGAGTGAGCCACCATTGGACTCACCTCCTGGTAAGTACTTTCTCAAAACCTTCCCTTCAATGCCAACCTTACCATTCTGTTGTGAACCACGATTTTCATAAATGACACGTTGATAATTTGAGCCAGCAAGATATAACCAAACACTAATAGGCATATATATATACCTGAAGTTCTATAGCAAAAATGTAAAATAATTATTTTTGTCCATACTTTAAAGTTCAGTTGAATAAGGACTGAACATTGCTATGGCAGTTAGCACTCCTACTTCATATTCAGGGAAGACGTCTAACGTGTTATGCTTCTCACTGTATTTCTCAATCATTTCTGAAATTGAAGATGTATGTCTTGTGGGTTGTTGCACAATGTAGTATGGTAGAAGTTTACTGGTGTTTCAGAGATACTTGCTGCCTCCATTGTCAGGGTGTTACAACCCAGAAGTTGGCCATCTTTATACTGACCACCATGAGAACCTTCATTCATACAATAGTCAAAGTACTTACACACATTCATGGGCACACGAAAATAGAAAGTTTTCCTCTTGCAGGAGAAAATCAAAAGTATGGGAGATGATCAAAGACATCAGACATGTAGTTTATTCAAGGGATTTTGCATATTAACACTTATTTTGGAGTACATATTTTCTTTAATGACATGTATAGTACATAACTATGAAATTTTTCAAACTCATATGTTCATAAAATTAATACTATGTACAGACATGTTGTACACAGACTGATTGATAACCTTACAGTGTACCAAAAATTGTGTACTGTTTAGGAACTGCATTGTTTAGCAACCTCCCAATAAAATTAAAGCCTGCCAGCTAACAGAAGACAGTTTCAACTTTCATTGAAAGAATGCCTTTTATCACATGCCTTCTATTCTGTTCAAAAAATGTCATGTCCCACCTTTAGATGCATTTATTTTATACCGCATATAGGTCATTATTTTTCCTTACTTCTTCTTTTCTGTTTCTTGATACGTGAATATATCCTCCATTACACAATTAGATGCTTTAAAAATTATGTTTCTAGTTGAGTTCTATAAGGCTATGTAAATTCAAAGGAAATGATGTAAACTAATTGTATGAAGCTTATTGGTTTTGATAATGTGCAGAAAATATGTTTGAATTTTTTGTTACAGATAAAAAACCACATAAAAACTGGCCATCTGAAGGTAGTGTTGTATTTGATAAAGTTGTAATTGCTTATTCCAAAGATGATCCACCAGTCTTAAAGTGTGTCAGCTTTACTGTGAAATCATCAGAAAAGGTAATTATAAGGAAACTTACTGTTTACAATTTTTACCAAGATATTTTTCTGATGAACCAAGAAGTCAAGTCACAGTTTATATGGCAAAGTCACAAACAGTTTAATTAACACGTTTAATAAAAAGTTAACAAAATCAAGTTATTTTTATTCTAGAGGAAAAGGTGCTGAAAGGGGGCAGTATCACAGTTTAATTTTGACAACTATGGAAGTGGTTAAAATGGTAAATGATAAATTTTACATGTGAAAGTCACTAGCACAGATATATATTTAGTGTGTGATTTCTTCAGGGTCCGGTGGAGGGCTTTGGTTAATTCGGTGATGAACCTTCGGGTTCGGTAAGCCATCTAGTTAGTTAGTTAGTTTCTTTATTTGATATCTACCTATGCTGTAATTTTTAGTATGAGATGTTAACTTTTTGTACGGAAAATATACTGTTGTATTATGGAATGAGAAGTAAAACATCATTTTGTGTACAAGTATTTAATAAAAGTGCCATCATTAAGAGCTAACATATGTAGAAGGTGGGCAGAATGTATTCCTGGAAATTATGATTAGAATATTTAAAAAGAATGGCCTTTGTAAGAAATGTTAAAGAAGTCAAGGATAGAGGGCTTTAGTCATACCAGCTGAAGACTAGGCTATAAATTTGACCTCCAGTCATAGGATCAGGTGTAGAGTGGCATCAAAAATGACTAGGGACAGCACTGCAAAGTGAGATACCAACAAAACTAAAAATGTCTATGGTGGGGTGATTACAGCAGCAAAATTAAGTGAATAACATTTCTAGGAAGAAGTATTGTGATTGCAGTTCTTACTACTGAATGTTGAATTTCCCTTTACCTACTATTCTGTCTTATTTAATTCAAGTTTAATTTAATTGCCTGTGTCATTTGAATATATTCTGAGTTATTCTTGTTTTACTGGTGTCAAATACATATGCTTCTTTTCAATTACAGGTTGGCATTGTGGGTCGTACTGGAGCGGGTAAGTCCACTCTCATAACAGCTCTGTTCCGTCTGGTGCACCTGTCTGGGGGCTCAATCCAAATTGATGATGTGGACATTGCCTCAATTGGACTCCATGATCTGCGATCCAAGATCTCCATCATCCCGCAGGAGCCCATCCTGTTCTCAGGAACTCTTCGTAACAATCTGGACCCATTTGAGCAGTACTCGGATGCTGCCTTGTGGGCAGCTTTAGCTGAGGTGGAACTGAAGCAGGTCGTGGAAGAGCTACCTGCTGGGCTGAGCCACAGAGTGTCAGAAGGTGGGACCAACTTCAGTGTGGGACAGCGCCAGCTCCTGTGTCTTGCCCGGGCCATCATCAGGAACAATAAAATTCTGGTGTTAGATGAAGCTACAGCCAATGTGGACCCCCAGTGAGTGATAATATTCTTAGAAACATAAATTTAATCCTCCCTAAATCGCCCTTATGACGGAGGCAGTATACCATCTGAAACGTTGGCAAACTCCTACCATACTGCACGGCCCAACAACCCAGAAGACAGCAATCTTCTTACTCACCACTGTGAAAACCTCAAATCCTACTACCTGGCATCTTGTTCTTCCTTAACTTTCCAGATTGAGCTCAGGGATACATTTCCAATTCTCATGTGCCATACTAATTAACATTATATCTTCTGGTAAACTGTTTCTAGGGCATAGGATGTGTGTAGGATAGAAATCATTCTGGTTGACCTTTGGTGATAATAGTTTCGACAGTATCCTTTACACTTTTTTTCACTGTCCATGAAAGCCACAGAAAACTTTCTCTTCAGAGTGGATTTATACTAAACCACAGAGCTAATAGAACAGAATTTAGGAATTGATGTATATAACTATTGGATTCATCATGACTGAACCTTGTTTCCGTGCGAATTACAATGAAGTTGAAAATAGGAGAATCTTTTATATTCTTTAAATAAAGTTGGACTAGAGAATAAGTGGAAAAGAGGGTTTTTTCTTTCGGTAAATCACGTGAATATTACAATCATCTTACTTTAACCATGTTCATGACATAGCAAACAAATTGCTGAATTTGCTGTCACTGTGGATGCTTTGTGACTTATGGTTTTATACTTCTTTATGTTTTTGACATAATAGTTTCAGTGCATTGAATTGGTTTTGGAGTTAAAATTATTCTTATTCATACTTTTTCTATTCATGATCTCTATTATTATTATTATTATTTCATAAATAAATTTCATCTACAGCAGTGAGATTAATTTCTACTTTTGGAAATTGTGAGTGTATCTTTCTGAATTCAGGACTGATGAACTTATTCAAGCAACAGTTCGTCGTAAGTTTGCAGACTGCACGGTGCTCACCATTGCTCATCGTCTGCACACAGTTATGGATAGTGACCGTATCCTTGTTGTGGATACTGGTTCTGTTGTGGTGAGCTGAATTTCACATATTAAAACTCTAAAACATGACCACATTCATCTGAAAAACTGTTCAGTTGTCATAAGATATTCATTATATTCTGATTTCATTGATATCTAAAGGAGTGTAATAACCAAAACAATTATAGGTTTGTAATAATTAATACAGAAATTTAAGACTTATTAAATCCTGTTAGAAATAGCAATAGTATGATCGTGTGTTTTTCAAATTTTCAGGAATTTGATCATCCGTATATCTTGCTTAAGAATAAGAATGGTGCCCTTTCTCAGATGGTGCAGGAGACTGGACATACAATGACAGAGTCTTTGTTCAGAGTGGCTCAAACAGTAAGTCATTATACCTACTTGTATATATCTTAGTGATTTTATCTCTGTCAAATGAAGTTCAACCACACAATTTACGGAGCAGTATTAAATGTCTCCAAAATCTCTGGTACTGGAACTGACACCAAAAGTCATTAATCTCAATGATTCATTTGGCCTTCCAGCTTGCCTCTTTCCATAAGGTTTTCTGGCCAAAATTTTGTGTGCACTTACTCTTGCATTTTGTTCTTATTACATTGAAGCATTGCATTAATTTTACACATCTGGTCATGTAAGTATTTAAATTTGATTAAGAAGGGGGAGGGAATCAACCATTTGAAGTAGTATTGACTCTGAATTGTTCTAATTTCCTTCATGGATGTAAGAGGTATTTTGATATAAAAATTAAACTTCAATCCTTGAGTTTTACATTATATATTGAAAAACACCTGTGCTTTGCATTGTTGCAAATTGTTCTAAATGTCAAATGTTTCTATATTATAGCACAGAAATTAATGTTTTTTTAAATTTTTCAGTGTTATGAGGAACATTTGGAAAACAGCGTTAAAAAAGATAATACAATCTCCACACCCCCAGGTTTTAAATAGAAGAGGGAAATTCACCAAGAAGAGAAGTTTCTTAAATTGTAGAGTATTATTGTAAAATATTTGTGTTTCTTGGAATACAGAAACCTCCACACTGTTAATATATCTTTAATAAAGGCTTTCAAATAAGCTAGAAAATTCTGTACCCCAGCAGAATTTATTTAGCTTGAACCCTTAAAAAATATCTGTCCAGCAAAGTCCAAAAATTTAGTTCCCATGAATTTTGGCATTTGGAGATTTCAATGTACCTCAGGAATATACACAAGAGCTTTGTAAAAGTATGTAAATAATTTTTCTTCGCTTTCAGTGCCTGTGTTTATCTGTTATATTTTCTTCATGTTTTGTCTGGAATGGTGGAACACACTTTTCTGCAATAACAGTGGCCACAGGGTATAATATAGTCCCATAGGCTCTTAGACAGATATATGTTTAAAAAAATAAATAAGTAAATAAAATAAATCAGTTTTCGGCAGCTTGAATTTTCCTGTTGGTTTTAAGTTATGCTTTCCCATAGCCATTTTTTGTACACGTATTGTTTTAGTGCAGGTTCAAATGGCATAGTTATACATATCACGAATGGTTGCAACATCAATGTCAGTAATCCAGAAAATGTGTGAAGTATCACATAGATTAGCATCCACTTGTAGCTTGTGCTTGTATATGGCTTGGCATGTGGTACGTGAAGGAAGAGAGGTTGTAAAAGTTAAAATTGTGATTGAAATGAGGGGTTGCCAACCTTATCACAAGCTGCACACAATTTTTTTTTAATTTAGAAAATGTGGGGTATTCATGAAATATGGTATTTTTACATAGTGAATGTTTTCAATCAAGAAATTGATGTAATACTTTTTTGAAAACTTTATGTACCACATATCTGATGTATCCTTTCTGTAATTGTGTTTACTTATCTTGCTCTTCACTGTAGAATTTTGTATTGTCATAAACCCAAACAATTGGTTTTCTTACAATAAGTAGATGTTTCCTTACCCCTACCATAAACAATTCCCTTGCAATAGAGCCATTACTTCATTTTTTGTATGTAACCTAAACCTGACAAGAAATTCTGAAAATTTAAGCATAACAGCTACATCAAGAATAGGTTCTTACTGCCCTCTGAGTGCTCTTCAGGAATATGGTGGAATTGAATGTTATACTGTGAAATGGGGTCAGCTGAACAAACTGAACCAACAATTTCTGTTAGGACTTGGTAGTTCAAACCATGTGGTCAGCTATGGCAGGGCTATCTAACCTTGCTCAGATTTTGAAGATGGGCCATGACTACATGATGATTGTAAGAATACTGCTCTCCAGATCCAATGTGTCATGCCCCTTTCTATTTCTTTGTCATGAGGCATAATGTTTTTATTTGGTTTCTACATTTTGAAGTCAATTGCATTGCCCCTGACAGGCTCTAGAAATAAAGAAGGGTTTTTGATTATCTGAATGTCAAATTATACAGCCCTGCCAAGCACCTTATGATTAGGTGATTTTCTGCCACTTCATCCAAAGAAAAGGAAATCATCTGGCATAAATTCATATAAATTATGTGACCATGCAACCATGACAAGAAAGTGTACTGAGAAAAGGATCATGAAAATGCTGCTGGCAGTGTGCCTGCAATACATGGTACTGGTAATGTGAAACAGCAGTAAAGGGAATGATCTGAATATAATTCGAACGACTTAAATCATCGAACTACTTCAATTTTCATTCATATGGGAAAATTTTAACTACCACTTTACACGACAGTAAAAAATTTGCACAAACTGACATTTTAATTTTCATGGATAAACAAAAAATAAATTGCATTGACTGATTTAAACTTCCTTCCATTCACATTCTATACAATATCGATACATTTCAATTAATGATTATGATCAAAGATCACCTGCACAGTTCGATTTATTTTCCGGGTTAAAACCATAGTACTATCATTTTCACTGAACCACAGATTAAGATCACCGAAACCGTGCACTCTGTGACAAGCATAGACTCTATGGAATTCTAATTCAGAGTGTTCTGTTTTGTGTAAATATCGTATATGACATAAAGTTTATCGAGTCAATTGATCGGGCTTCAAGTAGGAATGTTTGGTTTTTGCTTTCCAAGTAACTGTGAAAATGTCAAAACAAGGTAATGCAAAAATTAGTGATCTATTATGAGCAGTTTGTAATTGTTAAGTACTCTAAAGTCGCTAATTATCCTATATGGATGGAAGGTATAGCGATAGTCTTATGGGTTTGTAAGCATAGTTATAAACAAAATTTATGTCCCACTTTATCCTGTGTATGAGGCATACCATACACTGAATGCGACGGTGTGTTATTATGAGGTTATGTAAAGGAAACGGATGTTTCTGAAATGTAGGTGGTAAGTTATGAAATATGTGTTAACTGTCATAACAGAACATTTTGCAGCACGGACACGTGTGGGGTTACACTAATCTTAAGGTTGTATCAACTAAACTCTGTTTCTGTACCTTGTTTTTCGTGACTGGTTGTCGTACCCCATGTCTGTACCCAGGTTGGCATTTTGACTTGAAGATTCTGCATTTGAATTGAACTATAAGAAATCAATTTGTTCGCAAAAAGCACATAAACATCTTTCAGTATAAGCATTTTGAAGACGTGATGGTACCATCTGTAAGACTGTTTTTTCCCAGTGGAGTAATCCTTTTCTAACAAGACCACTCTTCCTTTCATGATTCTTGTGTCATTCAAGACTGGTTGTCATGCAGGCCAAAGTCCAACTCATTCACTGATTGTTATGAAGATGGTTCAGAATTTATCATCAGAAATAGAAATCAGCTAGTGGCACAGAAGTAAGTTAACAATACAAGATATTATGGAGGTTCGGGTAAGGTCAGTAATAACAAACACTTGAAAAACTGTGGAAACCAGGATGCTACATAATGGAGGTGACAGCAAAGTTCAGTAACCAAAGTAGCCAGAGGCATGGTCAAATGATCTGTTTACATGGCACATTAGAAAATGTCATTGTGTTTTTGCACAAGATGTATGTGTTTTGCATTACTCTTTCATTGTTAGTGAGAGACTATATAGGTTTGACTGTTATGATATAATATTTTGCATTAGGGATGGATTTTGTCCCACTTATGTGGTTTTGCGAAGGAAACTTCTGTGCAGCAGATCATCTTCAGTCGGCCATTATGATACTAGATATCTTGAAGCATCTTGAACTGGAAGCCATCCTAATAGGAATTACTTCAGATTTTAATTCAGAAAGTACATATATGTAATAATTGGAATGTTTGTGCTATGTGATAGGATTTACCTGGAAATCTTCAAAGTAGCTTTCTCGTTAGTGTTTATCAAATCTTATAAAATGAAACTTTAAATTGAGAATTTTAATCAAAACTTTTAACCTCTTATATTAGTCTGATTTTAGCCAGAGCTACAGTATGTATTTTATAAATACAAATTGCATATGAACCACGGCATAGCCATGTGACACGTGAAACCACTGTCTTCTCGTACGTTATGGGACTGTATGCAGTCTGTTTTAACAGCAAGTGCATGGTAATGGGAAGAAATCCCTACAAACCGATACATAAAATATGACAAGTTTGCCAAATAATGGGTTCTGGACAGATACAGCTAAATTTGTTTGAATGAGAAACGCTGGTATAAAGTGACTATTTACAATATCGTGATGTTGGAGGCAGCAGACACCTCTGAAATGTCGGTGTAACATCCGAGGAGACAATCATCTTACTTACCGCTGTGAGAACCTGAAATTTTGCTATATGAAACCATTTATTTTCTTTGTGATTGCTTGCGATCTTTAAATTGGAGTGGATCCAACAGAAGTCGTTCAAGTAGGTGGAAATTAATGTGTATTTCTTATATTATTGTTCTGTAATAGCATGTTTTGGAAGGAAGGAGATACAGGTAAGATAGGGATAAAGGAATAGATTAAATGATCAATGACAATGAAAAGGAGGGAAGCAGACAACTGCAGGAAAAGAACAAAAAAGGGAGAAAGAATGCGAGAGATGAAGATGCAGAAAAAATAAATTATTTGATGTGTTTCATCGGGCTCTTTGCAGGAGTTATCTAAGTTTGTGGAACTGGAGAGGGTACGATACGCTCATTGGTGGATTTTGAAGTGGGATCATGGGAGTTGCTGGCATCCGGATTTCTGTAACGAGATCATTAATTGCCAACATTGTGGTTGGAAAATCCTCAATTGAAAAAATAAAGCCATTTCAGAGGTTGATGCGTCCTTACCAGGATAATATTAAAATGCACCTATGAGAAATGGGATGTGGCGTCTACTGAACTCAGGTGGTTCGGGATAGAGTCCAAAGGCTGTCTTTTGTAAACACGCGAATTAACCTTCGGATTTTACAAAAGCAAGGTATTTCTTGACCATTCAAATAAATATAAACTTGCGCTTTGCCCTGAAGTTAATTGGAATATTATTCTGTTGCCCGAATATTCTGTTGCTGCACCATATTTTTGCATCTTGCAGAAGGAGGGGAGTTAGTATAACACGCTCTTCTCATTACTGCCGACATAAAACGAAGTGTCTTTGTTGTAGGTCCAGTATGAGATTTTCCTCAGCCTCTTTCGTCAAACTCCTGAACAGTACCAAACGTAGGACACTACCGCATTCTTTACAATCTTTATTGACTAACCAATCATTGGACGCTTGTTAATCGACCGCGAATAAACAGAAGTGGCAAGCTAGTTAGTTTGTGATGTAGCCAAAGTATATTAATTGTTATGCGTGAGCAAGGAGCTCGTCGTAGTTGGGTATCGAATGCGCCTGCGCGAAGGTCGCTGTGCGTAACTGCCATGTAAGTTTGTTGGCCTGCGACGCGAGGGGGTACTGCGATAAGGGCAGTTTTCCACTGCATGGTTTGCGCTCAGCGAGCCTCATCTGTTCTCCGATTCGTACCAACGGAATAACAATGCTGAAAGGTATGATTTTAGCAGGCATGGCGAGATTTCAGTCAGCTGCAGTTTTTTCATGTTATCCTAAGAGCGGGCAATGAATCCTTTTCATCTGGTCTCTTCTGTCTGTTAAATAATATGTTTTCATTTGTTTCTACAGGAAACATTTGGAGATGCGCCTACATTCTGGCAGGTTTACTTCCCAACATTACAGTTCGCGGATTGGGTGAGTGGATTTTATAAATAGTTATTCTAATATTTTACATCAATAGGGATGATTTAATTGCAGTGTATTTAAGAGTGCTTTGTCGATTGATTTTGAAACGTAGTCTCCTGAGGAAGAACAGAAGATGTTTCGCTTGTTTTTAAACTACGAAAGTATTTTGGACCAAAAAATAAATATAATGGGGAACAGTGGATTTTACGCAAGGAGGAGCGTCGCTTTTCATGCAGTTCACGTAGAATTGGTAGGGCGGTTGAGTCAAGAACGATGCGGTGGGATGAATATAAGAACTGCGTATAGAATTCTATTGTTGACAGCCTTTGTAAAGCGGGCAACGTACGGAAAAGGAGAACAACATGATTGATCTGAAGGTAAATGGATCGTGAAGGAGAGAAGTGGTATGTAGATGCAGGATCAGAGTAGTGCCTCCAGTGGCGGGCTTTTGTGTTGGTTGTGTTGAAGGTTGTATAATCAGCGTTCGTTACACACGAATTGTTGAGTCACAAGGATTTTGGAAGAAAACCATCTATAATAATCAGGCATTTATCTGGAACAGGGATAGGCCTTCTTTCTTTCTTTTTCTTCTTCTTCCTTTTTTCCCCTCGAGGGACGGATCCTCAAAGTCAGTAATTTATAAATAAAGATTGATGCCTTATGGGATGTCGCGCCGTGTAGTCTGGTAGACATTTACCGACGTTTCAGAGGTGCTTACTGTTTCCATCATCAAGGCGATGAGTAAGTCAGTTCTGCTGGAATTTGAGCAGTAACTGGAAATTTATGCACTTTAAATTTGTCAACAGAAATCTTGTTTTCTGATAAACAGGGCTCAACTAATGGCGGATCGGCTCTGTGTGTATTTAAGTACACATAACACCGTAAACGCCATTTACATTAAATAACTGGGAAGCTCATCGTACGTTTTGGAACCACCTAATGGCGGTCAGAATGACAGCAAATCTCTCATTAGTTCGGACGTCAAGTATAACTTGTCATTTTTTTATGAGGAGAATTTTTAGGCATGGGAATAGTGTACTCTTGACTTTTTCTTATGTGGCGAAGTTAAATACTCGAATCCCATCATCATTATTAGTTTCGTACAAAATCTCATTCCAAATTGCCAGTTTCAAAATATCGTCTGTTCCCGTATTTTCATTGAAATTGTTGTGTTTCGTGAAATGACCATTTTTCACAAAAACTGCCCTTTGTGTCATCATTTTTATCCTCAGATTCAGAACAGTATCACCCTTTTAACCGCTGATATGATCCTTTGTACAAAAAGGTCTTGGTTAGCATTCTGATGTCGGCAGAATTGCTTACAATCATGTCCCTTGTACCTTCTGACCTCCTATAGCCCTACTTAAGTCTAATGTGCACGATAAATGTAGACCTCATGAAGACCTACAGTCTCCTGTTTCGAATTGTCGAACCTTTAACGAAATACAAGTCGTCACTGTGTGTAGTAAGTTTTGCCTACAGCAAACGAACTCCAAAGCCATTGTACTAAGCAAAATAAGAAAGTAGCTTTTTGGAAAATGTGTACTCCATCGAAGTTTTCATTTCGCAGTCGTTGAGAAATGTTGAGATATAATCGTCACTGCGATCATCTCAGCGCTGAGGTACGTTTCACGTTTCAGCTTCGGTCGACAGAAATGTAAATAACTCAGCACCACTTTATGCGCGAGTTGATCTACTGTAAATATAATGCAGTTTCCCTGTTTTCCTTTATTTTCAGTCTATTTATATCATTGGTTATTTGAGCAAAACGTTCTCATGACTGTAATTCATGTGTTTTAGAGCATAAATATTCTGAATCTGTAGTAAGTTCTAAATAACACCTGGAACTTTGCTTCACTTATAGGGCACTTGAATAATAAATAGATAATTTATTCAGAATTTGTGGGTAAATTAAGTATGTGCATTCCAAATAGAATTGACAGCACTTCAACACATTGAAGCAAATAAATACGCTAAATAACATTTCAGAATTTGGTTTCTGCCACCTAATTGTGTTTGGAGTCGGTTATTAATTTTGGTTCTTCTGTAAATACATTCTGCTGGTGAAATTGCCAGTACTGAACATTAATAAAACACGTGGTGCATACAGCATAGTTATCACTGTGCCTTAAATTGTTAGATACGATTTTGTGCGACCTTTGTTATAACTAGAGCAGCGCTCCTTTCGGAGCCCCTCGGGGGGTTGGTCAAGTTTTTAAAACGCAACCAACCCCCCTTCGGGCGGGTTGGTTGCGTTTTAAAATCTTGAGTAAGAAACTAAACCAACCCCCCAATAGGGGGTTAAAACACATGGCCAACCCCTCTTCGGGGGGGGGGGTCAAGTTTTTAAAACGCAACCAACCCCCCTTCGGGCGGGTTGCTTGCGTTTTAAAATCTTGAGTAAGAAACTAAACCAACCCCCCCGAATGGGGGTTAGTTTAGTGTCTTATTCAAGTAATTTGTGTGCTCGGCATTGTTGTGTTGGTACAACAATGCCGAGTAAACAAATATAACGTAACATTGTTTGATGACGTCATTTTTTGACGACGATGACAAACCACAAATTTTTATAGTAAAAAAATATGTAGTGATCACACTTAACAATTGCTGACCTGATTCGTTTATTTGTTGATAATTAACTCATTGTTTATACCGCAAGTTTATTTATTTGGTGTTCGTTAAGAAGAAATTTAGTCAATACAATTTAAGTTTGACTTAACGCCATTTTTATCAAGCACCAAAGATGCGCGTCACATTCGTATTGAAATAACCGAACCGATGTATTAATCAGGTCTCAGGTTCGATTATCCGACCTGAGGCCGAGTATCCTGATTGAAGTTTTTCTAGACAATTGCTTGATCAGTGCATTGAAATAAACTTTCGTGCACATCGCTTGAAAGTTGCATGCACCAAAATCCATCCTCCCTTTTTTCAATCAAAGTATTCAGTTATGATGTAATGTCCTAACACTTGGGTGGAGTGACTGAGAAGCACCAGGACATTGAGGTAGCCGTTATTGAGTCGGCAGAATCCGGAGTCGCTTTGTGTATTTGCGAAGGAAGATTTCTGCATTAAATATTCTTTCTAGATTTCTGAGAACATGCACACCAAATAAAAAGTTGGTTCTTATTATGCCTTTAAGCAGGAAACTTCTCTTATTTATTCACTAGGTAGGTTCTGTACTGTTTAACGAACTTTACTGTCCGCCTCAGAACTTCTACTGTGGAGTGACGAGCCGTGTTAGATTGTTAGCAGCAGCGGGTCTTGGAAATTGATCGCACAAAAAGAGAACTTCGTCCAGGGGTGTCAATTCTAAGCAGAGTCAGTCCCGAAAATTAACCTGTACACCTGTGGTGAATCTAACCACAGTTGTCCAGTCTGTAGTCTTTTCTGACTCAGCTACCCCGACTCCAAGTTTACATTAATCCATTTAAAATTCGAGGTAATTTTTGAGTTAATGCCCATCCATAAAAATTGTTAGCAAATGAAAATATTAACTGTTTTTATTTTATTTTAAGTACCTGAACACTGACTTATTTTAACATGTAATCCAATCAGTTAATAGTGATCATTTAATTTTAAATATAAATCACGCCATTCTCTTAAATTTCGTATATGAAAATGATTCCATATTTTATAGCATGATAAGATACGTATTCTTTTTCATTATGTGGTATTAACGTTTGGTTAGATTTATCTTGTATTTCAAGTTACAATTGCTACATGCCGCTCCTGTATATTTTACAGCGTAATGTTTATGATCATGGAGTTTTGAGTTATCAGTAGTAAAAATACAGTTACATAGGTAGCAGTTAGTTGCTTGATTGTATTCTAATTGATATTCCATTAGTGGAATATTTATTTTTAATATTTTTATAAAAAATTCTTCAACATGACTTATCAGTTTTATAAATAAATTTACGGCATCTTTACCTGGATAGACGTATTTGAATGTTATAAATGCGTTTTACATATTCGAAAACCACAAGAAATATGTTGTAGTGTCTTTTGTGTGTAAGAACAGTACTGTATTCGAGCCAATATTAACACAAAATCACAAAAAAATTATATATGGTTGAATTGAAGCCACTGTGGTCTAGCGGTTAGAACGCTGGCCTTGTAATCCTGGGGTCTCGGGTTCGATTCCCGGCGGTGCCCGAATTTATAACCCGTGTTTGGCAAGGCCGTGGTCTAGGCAACGCGGAGTTTTCCTCCCTTCCCCGGTTTCTCCGTGGCATCCCAACAATTACTCCATTCACACACAGAAGAAGGCAATGGCAAACCACTTCTGGATCATCTGCCAAGAACGTATATGAACAGGTCCCAGGCCGAGAAAAGGGGAAGGATCCTGTTCATATGGACCTGTCGTCAGACAGAACACTAAATAAATAATATAAAATGGTTGAATTATATTTCTATTTGCTTTGCTACTCACCGAGTTCTGAGCCGTCTTCACTCGTCTCGGTACTGTTTGTGTTGCAACGTTGTTAGATTTTAGTGTGGACTTAGATCATGCAATTTGGTGGTCGCTACTAAAGTGGTGTTGACTTTTCGGGTGAGTTAATTTAGCTTAACGTTGCTTAGAAAGATGGTGGAGCAATTAGTAGTAACTATTCCTGTTTTGCGTTGTTGTGGACTGAAAGATGGCGAAGAACGTGTGTGTTCTCCGTTCTGTTCGTACGCTGAATTTCTCTTAACGTCGTCAATATGGTCTTGTATAGGCCTTGACATTTGTTACTTGGTTTCGTAACGGGTGCTAATGGCGGCTGGGACAGGTTGTGGTTCAGTTGTAACAAATTGTGGTCATTTATAAAAGGTTTAGAACTGAGGAATCTCAAGTCTCTATTGTTGTAAACTAGGAGTGAAACCGGGCTCCTCGTCGCATAAAAACTTCTCTATCCATTAGGACTTAAAGGGAGAAGTGAACTTTGATTGAATGATTCCTATTCTGTGCGAGTCACATTTCTTCGGGGACTTCGGTTTTCCCCAAGCGAAGAAGTCGATATTTT